GCTAGGCAAGCGCTCTACCTCTGAGCTACATAACCAGCCCTTGAGACAGGGTCTTGCTAAGTTGAGTCAAACTCATGATCCTCCTCCCTCTGCTTCCTGAATAGCTGGGATTACAGATGTGTACTGCCATGTTGACTATCACAACAGCTACATTAGACTGGAAGGCTTCCCTGCCCTACTAACACTCACCTTATGGAGAGGAACATCTTTTGTAAACAAGCAATGCTGGGGTGGTGGTAGGGGATTCCCTGAGCAGGAACAGGTGGCTTGGCTTTGATATCTTCTGAGACTGGACATATCAGTTTGTCAATTCATTTTCACCTGGCCACTCACTCTGAGAGAGCTCTCTACATACAAATGAGGCAACTTGAGCCAGGAGTGGGCAAGGGACGGCTTGAGGAGGCACAATGGGTAGCTTTGAGGCTCTTTCCTCTACTCCAAACTACCAGGCCAGGTCACAGTGAAATCTGCATTGACAACACAGTGTCACAGCTGCTCCCTGGGCACCTGTGCCTTGCTCAAGGTCCTGGATCTGCATTTGAAGCTCAGAATGGAGGTTCCTGCATGATGGAAGTCCTCTTCAGCCCCGTTCTGTGTGCCCCACCCACAGCAATGCCTCCAGTTCCATACCTAGAATCTCAGCTGATTGGTACCCACTGCCCACTTTTTTTTTTTTTGGTGGGGGTTTGAACTCAGGGCTTTGCACTTGCTAAATAAGTACTCTACCACTTGAACCATGTCCCCAGTCTCACTGTCCACATTTTTTGTCTTTTTTTTTATGGTGCTGGGGTTTGAACCCAGGGCCTTATGAATACTAGGCAAGTGCTTTATTACTGAGCTACATCCCCTGTCCTTGGTTTTTTGAGAAGGGTCCCTCTATGTGGTCCAGGCTAACCTTGCCATCCTCCTGCTTCTGCTTCCTGAGTGCTGGGATGACGGGTATGCCACACCATGCCAAGCTTTTGTTGCATTCTTTATTCATTTTTCATTCATTTGTTCCAAAGTCTGTTTTTTCATCTTATCTACCTGTCTGCCCATTCATCCACTCATTTAATTATTATATCAACAAAGCATTCATTCATCATTCATTCATAGATGTTTATCGAGCACGTCCTTTGTGCTGGGCACAGTGTTTGGTTAAAACCTTGGTAAAATGCCAGTTCTGGTGGGAAGGGCATGTTGACAGGGAGTGTGAGCAACTCTGCCATCATCTGAGAGCAGGTTTTCATAAGGAGGAAAGGAGGGTTGGTTTCATAAAGGCTAAATGAGTTCAGTGCACACAGAAGCCCAACTATCGTGTACCCATGTGTGTGGGATGTGTGTGTGTGTGTGTGGTGTGTGGTGTGTATGTATGGAATGTGTGTGGTGTATGTGTGTTGTGTGTATGTATGGAATGTGTGTGTGTGGTGTGGTGTGTGGTGTGGTACGTGGGGTGTGTGTGTGTCACATATGTGTAGTGTGTGTGTGTGTGTTGTGTGCTGTGTGTGTAGTGTATGCGTGGTATGTGATGTGTGGTGTGGTGTGTATGTATGGAATGTGTGTGTGTGGTATGGTGTGTGGTGTGGTACGTGGGGTGTGTGTGTGTCACGTATGTGTAATGTGTGTGTGTGGTGTGTGCTGTGTGTGTAGTGTATGCGTGGTTTGTGATGTGTGGTGTGGTGTGGTGTGTGGTGTCTGGTGTGTGTGGGGGGTGTTTATGTGTGTAGGAGGATAATGATAAATGCCTTTCTTATTCCAAGCAAATGCTAAGTGTGTTTGGATCCTCCCAACATCACCACCATCTCTAGGGAGGTAGGACAGGCACAGGGGATAGATATAAAGAGCTCACTTCACAGAGGCCACAACTAAGTTTCAGCCTATTTGGAGTTCTCTTGCCCAGGAAGCCCAATGCAATGCTGTCTCTTCCAGAAGTTTCCTTACATCCTATCTGCTGGAATGAATCTCTACCTTCTATTACCCCTGAGACCTTTGCCAATACTTTAGTAAAAGTGTTTCCCCATGGCTCTGCTCCTTTCCTTGGGGTTGCCAAGTATATGTGTCTGTCTGTCCATCAATCCACTGGTTGGGTATTTCTGGAGGGACACTATCACTCTGTTCATCTTTCTCCTCCCCCAGCAACCAGCGTGCATATCAGTTGCTAAATTTGCTCCACACAGGTCACCCAGATGGTTAAGAACCCAGAGCCTTTTCTGCTTTGGGCAAACTCTCACCTGTGAGCCAGCAGTAGCTTAACTGGTCTCAGTTCATCCAAATTCCCCCTTCTCCACCCCCCCCCCACAACCTCCACACTTCAGCCCCAGAAAACCTTTAAAGATGTAAATCTGCACTTGTCCGACCTTTCAGGAACCCCATGGTGTTTAGGATAAAATCACAAATCCTCCCAATATCCTACAGGGCCTGGCTGGGTCAACCTCAGCTTTATCTAAACTTCCTCTTCCTCTCAGCGATTCAGCCACACCAAATTCTGTCTTTAGAATTTGCCATGATCTTTTTTTGCTTGCTGGCTTTGGAGCAGGCTGTTCCTTCAGCCTGGGACAGTGGCCACCTTTGCCTAACTCTCCACTTCCCCCTCCTGGGAGCATCCCATTCCCTGTGGTCTGCCTCAATGGTATACTGTGTATCTCCTTTAGGGACACCTATCCTTGGCTGAGCCAGACTAGCACAGTAGGCATTCCATAAATGCTCAATGACAGACGTGGGATCCTTCTTGGCTCATTTCCTGATGGTGAGGGCAATCAACTGTTCTCTGACAGAACTGATGGACTTTAGCACTGACACTGGGGCTTGGGGTATAGCGCAGTGGTACAGTGATTGCCCAGCATGTACAAAGCCCTGGGTTTGATCCCCGCACCACAAACAGAACAATGACACAACAAACAAACAAAAAATAGTGCTGACATCCTGGTGGCAGGCAGAAAAGTTCTCCTCCTAGATCACAGCTAGGATGGGGCCTAGGAGTTCTCCACTCCAGCAGAGAGGCACTTGCATGGGAGCTCTCCACTCCTGGAGAGAGGCTCTTGCCTGCTCCATCTGGGGTAGGATTGGGGATGGATTATAATTTATACAGACATACAGACTCTCCTGAGAACTGTGGTTTTGAATTTTGAGTGCATTTACATCTGTTCCCCCTGTGACTGCCTGGAAACTCAGTGTGCAGTGAGCTAGACAGCCCTGGGTTCCAACTCTGCCTCATCATCTGCCAGCAACCTCAGTTTCTCCAACTGTAAAATGGAACTGATAATAGTATCTACTTCCCAGAGTTGTGAAGTGTCAACAATCTTTATTTTTTAAGATGGGGTCTTGCTCATGTGGTCTGGCCTCAAACTCTTAGGCTCAAGAGATACTACTGCCTCAACTGTCCAAGTAGTAGCTGGGATTACAGAACTGCACCACTGCATCCAGCAAGTTACAACCTTTAAAGCATTGGGTGTTTGGGCACATGAGATCCTTATTGTTGTCATCATGGAGTGGAGCATTCCCAGGAGTTGAGATCTGGCTAGCAGGGCTCCTGCTCTATAAAGCCATTAAGCCATATTTTTTTCAACTTTGTAAGGAAACATCAAGAACTCTATGTAGTTCACTTTAGAATCTGTCCTGTGTCTGTCTGGGATATGCATGCAAACACCCATAGTCATTTAATGATTGGTTGGGGGAGGGCATTGTATTAGGCCCCTGGAGGCATAAAGATCAGTAGAACTCACTTCCTATCCTAGGGGGAGAATTGGACAAACCAATACCGATTCACATTTCAGCTGGGTACGTGGCAGGGCTGCCCAGAGGTTGTGCAGAAAGGACAGAATTGCAGGGCAGGGTGACAGGCTGTACAAGGCAGAGGAAGGGGTGCTGGGAACCCCAGGAGTAAATTAAGAGTGGCCACACACTGCTCCCCTTGGTGTATCACTCATTGGGAAGACTGGCTGAGCTCTGGGGCTGAGAATTATGGCACACTGTCACCCAGTACACTGAGAACTCTGTGCCAGACTTGGTTAGGGTTTAGGGCTGCATCAGACCTTCCATAGAAGCCCTGTTCATTTGGTAGGATGGAACAGACCATGAGGAGACAAGCATTAATAGACTGCATGCTCCTCTAACATCCACCTGCTCTTCCCACCTCTGCTGCTAGGGCTGAAGTATCCAGGAGCCTGGAGGAACCTGGGAATCAAGCCCTTGTCCTTGGTGGGGGGAGGGACAGCCCTTGGATCTCTCTTAGGGGTGTGGTCTGGAGATGGCATTCTCAGTCTGGGGGTTGGGACTGCACCCCTCCTCCCTTATTCCTCAGCTTAGTGGTCTAAGGCATGACCCTCTGACCTCCAGACTGTTCCCCTTCATGGTCCCAAGAAGCCTCTGGGCAGGAGTTAAAGGAAGGAAGGCTCCTGAGGCCACAAGATTTAGATGGGGTAGGAAGCAAGGATTGGGTCTTAAAAGGGGTCTCCCGGGTACTCTTGGGGAGCTCAGGCAAGGCCAGGAGCCTGAATCAGGTCCATAGAGTACAGGGCCGAGATGTGGGTGCCTGGCCCAGGGGGGAGGGGGGTGATGGGCAAAGGGGTCAGCCGAGGGAGCAGGCGGGGCATCAGAATGGAGGGCGCCGAGTGGGGGTGGGAGGGCGAGGGGTCCGGACAGTGCAGGGGGGGTGGCCCCCAGGGAGGGGCACGCTATGTCTTTAAGAGCTGCCTGAGCGCAGGTTGCAGCTGCCTGGCCAGCCCGAGAGACAGCGGAGATTCATTACCCGCCGACACAATGACCATTGATGGCCCCGTGGCGTTATTCAAATCCAGTACCAATTGCAGCCGAGCCCCTTTCTCCGCGCCAGGCCCGTATTGTTGGAGCGGCCCACTAAAAGCCCGCCCCGGCCCCGAGCCGCCAGAGGCGTCCGCTCGGGTTCAGCCCTGCGCCTCGCCAGCACGCCGGCTCCCAGTCCGGCTCCCAGGGCGCTGCAGGTGACCCGGCGGCACATTCCAGCGCTCCCAGCCGCCGGGGCCACCGCCGCCGCCACCGCCGGGGCACCGGTCACCACTCAGACACAGAGAAGTGGAGAGCGCCCTAGCCGGTGCGTGCGCGGGGCTGGGCGGGGACGGGAGACCCGCGAGTTCGGCAGCCCAGACCCTGGGCTCGGAAGCGCGACCCGGCCTCGGGCCCCAGCTTTCTGGATTCCCCGCTAGCCCTGGCTAGGGGCGGGGAGAGGGGAGTTGGGGTTCTCCAGGTATGACCAAGGAGATTCCCCCAACCTGAGGCGGCACAGAGACCCAAAGTGGGCTACTTTAGGGACCCCGGGCCGCGATCGAAGGAAACACGCCAAAGGCGATGGGGATCCCCGGGCAGGGCCGGGATCCGCGTGCCTGCTGTTCACCTTACCAAGGGATGGGCCGTGACTGCTGAGCGTCTGCGAGATATTCCGACGCGCAGCTCCGGAGATCTCCTGGTCCGGTGCTTTGAATGAGCGAAGCTGTACGCCGCAGGACACCGGCATCCTGAACTCAGGGGCTTCGCCACTGATTGTCCAAACGCAATTCTTGTACGAGTCTGCGGCCAACCGAGAATTGTGGCTGGACATCTGTGGCTGAGCTCCGGACGCAACAGGGGTGGAGGGCTGCAGGGACGGAGCTCAGCGCCGGTGAGAACCCTGGGGCGGTGGCTGGTTAGTCCCACCGCGAGGATCGCGGCATCAAGCCGGTGTGCAAAGGAGGGACGCAGGTCCCTGCCACCAGCGCCGCCATCCTCATCTTAATTCCTTCTTCCCCTCCTGGGCGGCTGAACGGTCCCGACTGATGGGGGTCCTCCAGTCGACTGCGTTATTTTCCCCCTTTTCAAATTTCGGCCGGAATGAAGCTGGCACGCAACGGCCGGACCCGAATGTGGTCCTTGGAGCCCGCCCTCGGCCAGAGCCACAGGAAGTCCGGGGTGAAAGCAGATGCCGGTGGAATGCGCTAACCCGATTCGAATTTGCTTTAACCTATTCCCCAATCAGTAACACCCCCCCCACCAAAAAAAATTCCTAAATCACCTCCTAAATCCCAAACCAACCAACCCCTCCCACAAGCTCCTCTGGACAGACCGATGGGCTGAGCCTCCTCCATCCGCTTCCAAAAACAGAGAAGCTTGGGAATGATGCGCTCCAGCAGGGCAAGTGCCTTGGCTTTGGAAATACAACTTGGGCAAATAAATCCTTTTCATTAAAGAAAAATCTTCGGAGATAGCAGGGTTTACTTATTCGTTTATTTTGTTAAAAGCAGGGGTCAGGAGTTGCGCGGGAGGTGGGTTGTTGGGTGTTGCTGGGACTGAGTTGGGTCACCTGTCCCTGAGGGCTTTCAGCTAGGGGCTAAAAATGACCTGGAGCGCCTTGGCTCTGGCCAATTTCACTGGCATCCTGCTGTGGGGAGACCCGATTGTCCCAGCCCATTCTCTACTGCTCAGCATTCTCACTATACTGGAGTGCTGCGGTGGCAGGGATGACCTGCAGCTACACTCCCCCAATCCCTTGTAGGTGCAGAAGGAATCCCACCTACCATTTTCAGAATCTGGAACCCCAGGGTGGGACAATGGACCATTCCTGAAGCTCAGGAGCCAGAGGGAGGGAGGGAGGGACCTCCAGGTTACAAGAACTGGGACAGGCTGACCCTCTAAAACTGAGGCTGTTGGGGCTATTACAATTCCTTCGCTGGCCTCAGCACCTAGTGAAGGCAGTCATACAGCTGATCTAGACAATACTCAGACCCAACACTGGCCTTAACTTGCACCCAGACAGGTCCCTACCAGTAACCCTAACATGGCTGCTCCCACCCACACATGCCCAAAGGGCCTTCACTGCAGCAGTACTTGAGAGAAACTCATGGCCAAGGGGTCATTTGTCCTCTTAAATAATGAATGCACACTTGTCCCCAACACTGCCTGGACAACATTTGGCACTTTCATCTCCACAGGGTGAGAAATGCCACCTTAAATTATTGACATTTAATGAAAAGCAGTATTTAGGGCAGGGTGATGATAGCGCCCTAAATATTATTATTTTTTTTTGAGGTCTCTCCAGTAGACAAAGCTCTTTTCTCTAGGTCATGAAAGAAAAGGGAGGCTCAACAGGTTTATCTATGCCACTCCCCATTCTGGGTTCTGAGGCAGGCTGCTGCAGCTTGTTTGATAAGGTCTGGCCATAGATAGACGGTATGTGTTTTGGGATCCAGACTGGTTAGCACGGGTCTGCATCCCTTTCTCCAGATGGCCTCACTGGATCACCCTGTCTAGTAGAGGTAATCTATGTTTCAGCCTTTCAGGTAAGGGCAGCTCTGAGAACCCCAGGGTCTGAGGGACAGAAAGGTACCAGAGCCCATGGCTGGGGGTTATGGGGTTCTACCCGCCTGTAAGAAAGAAGCTCCAAGCAAGGAGTAAACGCCTAATCTTTTATTTGCCCAAGGCCAGCTGTTACCAGGCACTGAGATCCCCAGATTTCCAGAAGGGACAGAGTGCTGCCTGCTCCCACTATTTCCTGCAGGAAATGGGGCAATAAAGTCTACATTTAATGCTGTTGAGTGTCTTCCCCCAGGTTTCATGTACTATATGCAGTTGTTGTAGAAGAGGAAACTGAGGCATACTGGCCTCCCCAGGCCTCTCTGTTGGTCAGTCCAAGGTTGGGCTACTTTTCCCCCCACCTCTGCTTTCCCAGCAGAATGAGTCGTACACAGCATGGAGAGGGTCTCAAGAGCCCATATGGTGGCTTGTGTATGGGGGGAGGCCAGCCAGGGTCAAGGGCTTGGGTGGGGGGAGCAGGAGGAGGGGTGTGGCTGGGAGAGCAGCTGCTAGGTGGGAGGGAGGGGTGTCAGCATGAATAGGGGACCCCAGCTGGGGTTCCATAATGATATCAGTAGGGGACAGGAAGAGCCCTCTGCTATCCAGATGAGGAAACTGAGATGGAGAGTCCTCCAATCTTTGGGAAGGGGCCTCCCATCAGTTATTTCAGTCCATCTTCCCCATGAAGATGCCCCAGGAGCAGGAGCGCCTTGTTGGCGGTCACTCAGTGCTTAGATTAAGACATAAGACTAGAAGGCAGCTGGGTTACCTGGGCACAGAGCCCCCCTCCACTCCAACACACTAGAGGACACCCTCCCCCATCTCAGCTGCTGGGAGAAGGAGTACTCAGCTCAGGCGCCTGCCTGCCCTCCCCTGCTCACGTGCCCTGCTGAGAAAGGATCATTTTTTAGCACCTGGCCTCTTTTTCCTGCCTGGAGGGCGCTCAGAGGGAAAGAGCAAGGAAGGAGGCTGCCAGGGGGGGATGGGAAACCTGGAAGCAGGGCCCAAGGGGATGTCTGGCTGTTCCTTTCTCCTCTCACAAGGGTATGTGGGCTCAGAGAGGGACCCTCAGCCTCCATGCAGCGTGGAAATGAAGAGTACGCTGTCCTGGTCCTGCAGCTGGTAGTCCAGCTCACCCTGGGGCAGGAGAGAAGAGCAGGGACCATCAGGGCACAGACCCAGTTTCTCCCCAGGTGTTGGAATGGGGGAAGGGGAGAGCTGGCTGCTCTGGGAGATAAAGATAGACTTCACCAGGAAAACAGGGATCCTACACCACTTTCAAATCTCCATGAGGAGAATGTCCTGCAGACAATCCCTCCTCACTTGGGGTGAGAGACTTGAGTAGCCTGATTGGGGACTGAAGTGGGACAGAGATTATCCAGCACCATATCTGAGCCTGACGAGAGGGCCCAGGCTTTCCCCACTCAGGCAGGGAGGGTAGGGGCTGGGAGGGTGTCCCCCGAGGTACTAACCAGCAGTTCCCAGTCGGCATCATTAATCAGCACCAGAATTCCTGGCCGCCTGTGGGAAAGATGGTGGTGAGAACAGGGTGGGGAAGGCAGGAGGCTTCCAGTTTGGGTGCTGCTGGAATGTTGAAGGAGTCCTGCCTCCTGAGATTCTGGTCAAAGATCTCTGAGGAAGTGGAAGCCACAGGCAGCAGGTACAGGAAACCAGGTCAGTCATAAGCTTTGGGGCCAGAAAAATGGGTGCAAAGGCCAGCCCTATCACCCAGATACCAGGCAAGTCATTTTACTTCTCTGAGCATCAGTTTCTTTATATGAAAGTGAGGCCAACTGCTTTGCAAGTGTGAAGTCCTGAGTTCAAACCTTAGTCCTACCAAAACCAAAATCGAACAAAAAAGTTTGAAAATGAGGCCAATTATAGTGTGTCTTCACAAGCTCTGCTTGAGGATGTAATGAGATCCAGTGAATGCAGGCTTGAGACCACCCTGTCTGTCTGCAGCCAGCAGGAGAAGCCCTACTTCCCCAGGGTCTTACCTTACTCTCCTAGTCCCTGAAAATGAAGAACTTTGGCTTTTGGGCTGCCCACATGCCCATCTCAGGGAGGAGGCTATCTTGGCTTTTCTGGACCAGGGATGGCTGCCAGTGGCACAGAGCACCTGAATGTTCAAGAGCCGTCTTGTCTGCAGAAGGCAGCTTAGCCTGGCTCCTGCTGGCAGTGGCCCAGGGAGCACTGCTATCCTTCCAGGTACCTCCAGGATTGCTGTACCATGGTCTGAGGCAGAGGCTGCATGGCAGCCCTTGTTTCTGGGGCCTCAGGCGATTTAGGCTTTGAGACAGATGAAGGGACCTCAGTGAGCTGTCCTCTTTTACACAGGAGACTGGCCCTGTGTAGAAGGACAGTGACTTCTTGGCACATGGAACCTAGTCCTATGCTAGGAGACTGAGCTACGGCAGGCAAGGAAGTTTTGTGCTTCTATAGGGTAAGTGAGTGTAAGTGAGCCTAAGCGCATACGTATGTACATGCAGTCAACAACCCCTGGAACTCTAGGTCTAGGCTGTTCCACGCAGTATCTACTTTCTATTTGTCTCAATGTGGCTATTTAAAATTATGGTGAAATATAATGGAGTGCTGAGCTCCTAAGTCACACTGCAAGGACTCAACAGCTTCATATGGCAGTAGCACTATACTGGACAGCACAGATACCTGTCCTACATAGTCATGGGATCAGGAAGACCTTGGAGTTGAGCAGCACCTCTTTTTTTTTGTTTTTTTGCAGTACTGGGGTTTGAACTCAGGGCCTATACTTTGAGCCACTCCACCAGCCCTTTTTGGTGAAGGGTTTTTTGAGATAAGGTCACTTGAACTATTTGTCCAGCTGGCTTCAAGCTGCAATCCTCTCGATCTCTGCCTCCTGAATAGCTAGGATTACATGTGTCAGCCACTGGCACTCGACAATTTTTAGTTTTGATTTTATTGGGGTTTGAACTCTTGCTAGGCAGATGCTCTTACTGCTTGAGTCACTCTGCCAGCCAGTACCTCTTTATAGTATTTTCTGTATAGACAGAAAAACTGAGGCCCAGAGAAGCAGATAAGTTGCCTAAGCATCCACAGCAAGTCTGTGGAGAAACTCACCAGACTCTTTTCATCTGGGCTTTTAATAAACCCCAATAGGGCAGTGTAGCAACAAGAAAACAAAAGACAGATCTCAGACAGAGCTGGCCAGATGCTCTCCTCAGAGGGGTCAGAGGGAACGGGAGAAGAGGACATCCAGGAGGCAGAACCCAAGGCCGGGGCTCAGACATCCTGTGCTCCCTCTGCCTTCCTCAGGGAAGGGGGAACAGGGACTCACACGCTGTCTCCCTGGAGGAATAGCTCTGGCCGCTCTTTCAACAAATTCTTCTTGATCCAGACAAGGAGGTTCCGGATATCCCCTAGAGAGGAAGGCACAGAACAAACTAATGTCAAACCAACATAATTTCTGGCCTCCAAAACCTTGCCCGATCCAGAAGTAAGTGAACATAGGGCTCACTCACATAATCTCTTTTAGACCAGGCTGTGATGCCCTATGAACCTATAGGTTCTCAAGATGATGAAATGAGTTAGGAGAGGCCAGTGACTTGCTAGAAAGATCTTCAGAGAAAGTGGTCCCTGGCACTTTTGAAGACCAAGAAACACTGGCCAGAAATTATAAACAAAAGGGCCAGGGGCATGACTCAAGTGATAGAGCACATGCCTACTATGTGTGAGTCCCTGGGTTCAATCTCCAGTACTATAAATAAATAAATAAATAATAAATAAGCAAGCAAACCGGGTGCAGGGGCTCACACCTATAATCCTAGCTACTTTGGAGGCAGAGATCAGAAGGATCTCAGTGTAGTTCATGAGACCCTATCTTGAAAAAAACCCAACACAAAAAAGGGCTGGTGGAGTGGCTCAAGGTATAGTTCTGAGTTCAAACTCTAGTACCTCAAAAAAAAAAATTAAAAAATAAGTAACTAAATAAATACTAAAGGGCTGGGGGATTGAGCTGGTCTGAGGCTGCTGAAGCTGCTTCTATCTTTCTCTCTCTTGCCGGTCCTGCTGGGGAGGCCTCAGCTACTCTAGGAGGGGTCTGCATATATATTTCCCTTTGTGAAGGGAGAAAAACAATTGCCAGGCTGATAACCTGATAACATCAGTTAATTTCCTGCAGCAGAGGGAGAGAAGGACCCTTCACTAGCCAGGGATGCTAACAAATCATTGCTCCAATACCTCCCCCGGCCCCCTTCCAGAGCCCTGAGGACTGGGGATGATCACCTTTAAGAAAGGATCTATCTTGCTTAGCTGAACACTGAGAGCTGCTCCTTGTGGAGTTGGGACCCTGGGACAGCCAATAGTCTCTCTGTATACCATGTGGAGGCTCAGAGGCATCTGTTCCCAGGGTCACCTCCCCTTTCCCAGGAGTAGGGGTGCCAGGCTACTACACACTAGCACTCAGCTCTATATACTCCTTGATACCCAGGGGTCCTCATTATCTACTCTCCAAAAGGACTGTTCTTCTGAGGCTGCAGGGCGTCCTGCTCTCGGAGACAACTTGAGGATGAGGGCCCTAGAGAATCAGTAAGAAGCTTGTCCCAAGTCTCAAAGGGGTCTGGGATAAAACAGGGACTAAGCTGGAGCAGGCCCAGGTGGGACCTGGATTGTCCTGCCTAGAGTCCAGAGTCCTGCAATAAAGGTAAGGGATGGGCTGCTTGGGCATTGGAAGGTTGCATTCTGCTTCAAGTGTGGGCTCTATCAAGCACACACATAGGCCCAGCCTTAAGCAGGGCTTGAAGGCACTCTCCCTGGCCTGCATGCCTGGATGGACTAGTCTAATCCTTTTTGCTTGGCGCCAATATCTCTGGACCCTACACCAACAGAGCACAGGATTGCCTTCCAATTTTAATTCCTCCCTTTAAACAAAGCAGACTGGAGTCCTCACTTGTTACCCCTTGGAGCAGGCAGGGGAGAGTGCTGCCTCCATTAGTTGCTGTCCACTGGACTTTGGAAGGTTCCTCCCTGATGCCCAGGTTCCAGAGGCTTTCCCTAGGTCCTGAATCCCCTTAGCCTCCATCTTGGCACTGTCTGGTGGGCCGCCAGCCCATACATCTTGTGGCCGCTCGATAGAGCTGCTGGGGTCTGACACATCCATTAGCCAGCTTTGGCAGGCAGAGATGTGCCTGTTTGTGTGGAGGCAGTGGAGGGACTGGGCAGAGACTAGCCCAGGGACCAAGACTGCACCTCCACAGCCTTGGTTGGTCAGTCAGTACAGAATGAGAATCCAGCTGGGGAAGTCCTGGCTCCCCACCAAAAAGAAGGTGCTTCTATTCCACTAAGGATAGGCTTGGGGGTGGGGGAAGGGCTAGTGGTCACGTTGGGGTCATCCACATGATGGTACTGTCACGGAGTCCCAGAGGAGTGGGCTGGGGGATGAGTTTGCTGCCCGGTGCTGGCTCATTTATCATGATGCTCCTATTTGCTGAGGTCACTCCCTCCCTTCTCTGCCTACCCCCTACTTGAGGCCTGCTCACATTTTTGATAGCTTGTTACCATGGTGAGGCTACTGCATCACCACCCGCATTGTTCCCCCATGCTTGGATTTGGGGGTGGGGAGAGGTGGAACTCATGGCTCCCTTGTAGGATGAAGGGCCACTGGGCCTGGCCTGAAACACACCCCCAGGGACATCTTGCTCAGCTCGTTGAGGCCCAGACAATATGCAAATAGGCTCTAAGCCAGATGGTCGGCTTCCAAAGGCGCCCAGGGGAGGAGGAAGGGTTAAGCAGTCAGGGACTGGTGGATTGGGGATGACTCTGGGATAGATGGGGGCTGGGAAATCTCACTTTCACCTTCCCTCTCTGTGTCCTCCTTATCTTCCCACTCCTACTGAGGGTGGTCTTCCTCCTGGGATTCCATGCACCCATTCACAAGACATATTTATTGAACATCTACTCTGTGCCAGGTGCTAGGGAAATGGTGGTGAGCAAGATGGACAAAGCCTACCCTCATAGAACTGAGAGGGTAGCAGGGGAGACAGACATCACTTACTTAACTAGTTGTGATAAATGCTAAACTTTGGGATTCAGGAAAGGCCTTTCTGAGGGTGTTAAAGTCTAAGCTCAGGCCTGAAGGATGAGTTGAATATGAGTGGAGAAGCATTCTGGACAAAGAGCAAAATGGGAAGTCCTGAGGCAGGATGGAATTGGCAGGCTCAAGGGAGCAGAACAGAGAAGGCAAGAAGCTCATTGTGAGAGGGGTCCTCATCCCTACTCTCGACATGGCCTAGTGAACTTCAGTAGTACTGAAAGAGTATGTGGTCTCTGGGTCACAGGATCCAGGTTCCCCTATTTTCCTGCCTTGAATTGTGAAACAACACCCAGTTCAAATGTATGGCATTCCCATCCTCATTCCCAGAGTGGGATCTGAGGGCTCAGGGCTGCTGCCCTCACAACCCCAAGATGCCTGCTGAACACATGGACAACTGCAGAATGGAGAAGGAGAGGAATCAGGTTAAGGAACTCCGTCACTTCTAGGTTATATGACCTTGGGAAAGGAAATCTCAGATCCTCAGCTTTATTTATTTATTTTTAAAAATGTGGTGCTTAAGACTACATCACTGTAAAATAGGCACAGTGTGTGCGAGGGAGGAGGGTGAAGGAGATTAAGGTGATAGCATATGGTTGATGGACTTCATATACCTATATGAAACAGAACTAAAAAACCTCTTGGAATTAATTGGGGTGTGGAGGGGGCTGAGGAGGAAGAGACGATGGGAGTAATGTAAATAATGTACAATCTAATTGGAAATGTCACTACGAATCCCCCCACCACATAATGAATCTATCCTAACAAAAATTTATAATAATAATAATAGTAAAAGGAAAAAAGAATACGTCATAGAGCCAGGTGTTGGTGGCACCTTAGTTACTCAGGAGGCAGAGAGCAGAAGGATCACGGTTCACAAGAACCTGTGGGTTCTCAAGATGATGAGTGAGGAGAGGCCAGTGACTTGCTAGAGAAAGTGGTCCCTAGCACTGCTGAAGACCAAGAAGCATTGGCCAGAAATTATAAACAAAAGGGCCAGGGGCATGGCTCAAGTGACAGAGCACTTGCCTACCTTATTGTGTGAGTACTAACATGTACTGAGTTCAATCTCCAGTATTACAAATAGATAATAGGTAGACAGATAAATAAGCAAGCAAGCAAGCTGGGCACAGTGGCTCACACCTGTATCCTAGCTACTTAGGAGGCAGAGATCAGAAGGATCTCAGTGTAGTTCACAAGACCCTATCTCAAAAAACCCAACACAAAAAGGCCTGGTGGAGGTACTGAGTTCAAACCCCTGTATCACAAAACAAACAAACAAACAAACATGCCATAGAAGGGTTTGGGGCATGTCTCAGGTGGTAAATTGTCTGCCAAGCACAGAGTTCAAATTCCAATTCCGCCCCTCCCCCCGCCAATAATAATTCATAAAAGAGTATTTCATAAGAGTTGTAGGGCTAGAATACGATGATCCACACACAGCTCTTGGCACTATGCCTGGTGTATCGATGTTGTAATTATTCCAGGATCTGAGGAGAGAACGTGTCTTCTCTGTACTCACCAATGTCCTGGGCTTCCACACACTCTGCCCACTGGCCTGGCACCCTAGCTTTGGACAGTGGGATATATCACTAATCAGGGAGTCCTGGGGATGGCTGGGGTTTTCTGCAGGATCTAGTACCTCCCCATCAGAAGCCAGAAGGAAATGGCAGGAATAAGAGCAATGAGGGAGCTGGGAGCCGGTGGCTCATGCCTGTAATCCTAGCTATTCAGGAAGCAGAGAACAGGAGGATCGAGGTTTGAGGCCAACCCAGGCAAAAAGTCCCTTGAGACCCTATCTCAAAAACTCCTTCACAAAAATAGGGCTGGTGGAGTGGCTCAAGGTGAAGGCCCTGAGTTCAAGCACCAGTACTGGAAAAAAAAAAAAAAAAAAAGTAATGAGGGCCACATGCTGGTGGCTCACATCTGTAATCCTGGCTACTCAGGAGTCAGAGATCAGGAGGATCACGGTTTGAAGCCAACCCAGGCAAATAGTTCAAGAGACCCTATCTTGAAAAAACCCTTCACAGAAAGAGGCTGGTGGAGTGACTCAAGGTATAGGCCTTGAGTTTAAACCCCAGTACCACCAAAAAAAAAAAAAGGCTGGTAGAATGGCTCAAGTGGCAGCATGCCTGCCTAGCAAACATGAGGCTCTCAGTTCAAACCCCAATACCATACATACACACACACACACACACACACACACACACACACACACACACACACACGAACTATTTGCCTGGACTGGTCTCTAATTGTGATCCTCCTAATCTCAGTCTCCCAAGTAGCTAGGATTATAGGTGTAAGCCACTGGCACCCTGCTTGCTCTGGTGATTTTGGAGATGGGATCTATTTGCCCTGGATGGCCTGGAATTACGATCCTCCCAATTTCAGTCTCCAAAGGACTATAGATATGAGCCATGGGCACCCAGCCTTTCCTCTCATTTCAGATGTTCAGACCCAGTGGTTGGTCAACCCAGGGGCAATCCAGGTGGGAGAACCACATTAGTGCTGGTGGCTATGTCCACAGTACCAAGGGTTAGGAGATGGGCACTCTGCAAAGTTTCCAGAGCAGGAGGTCTTCAGATTTGGCCTGCCAGTCTGAGAACAAGTGATGGGAGCTGCTGCTCTGTGGTGGAGGGTTTAGTTCTGACTTAGGAGCCAGAAGAACCTGTGCTATGGGCCTTGGGCAGGAAGTTACCTGCAGTGTCAAACACACAGGACAGGCTCAACTGATGGGTGCTCTGAGCTGGGTGTTCAAATGATTTCATTCCTTGTTCTTTGGGCTGTCAGAGCCCTGTCCTAAAGGTAGCTGCCTAACAGGGCCCCGGTGGCTTATGCCTGTAATCTTAGCTACTCAGGAGCCAGAGATCTGGAGGATCTCAGTTAAAGCCAGCTTGGGGCAAATAGTTTGTGAGACCTTATCTCAAAAACATCCAGTACAAAAAAGGGCTGGTGGAGTAGCTCAAGTGGTAGGGTGCCTACCCAGCTAGCAACATTGGGACCATGAATTCAGTACCGGGAAAAAAAAAAAAAAAAAACAGATAAAAAATAAAGGCAGCTGCCACAGGGGCACCACTGGCATACCCATCTTAAGAGTGCCTCTATGAAAACTCTCACCAGAACCCCTTGCCCCAGTGGACTTGTCTGGGAGACATAGATAGCCCTCTGTGGCAGGGCCATCATGGATGTTAATCCCAGCTTCTCAGAGATGAGGGTACAACCTCAAGGTTCCATCTGACACTAAATCCTAGTTGCAACAGATCCTCATGTAGCCTCTTTGAATGCCTCCAGAACAGAAGGTTCTGCCTCCAGAACAGAAGGTTCTCCACTACGCTGTGGAGCAGCTGTGCCCAGAGCTCTGTCCACCCAGGAAGAAGTCTGTCTCCTTGTCACTCTCACCTACTAGGGTTGCTGGTCCACAGAGCCCATGCCAATGAATGTGAACTCTTGTCTCCACAATGACCCAAATGCTCCCCTAAATCTTTTTTCTCTTCTGTAGGATAACTGTCCTGCCCCTACCAAGTCTACCAGGCTCTAAGACAGGGCTCTTCTGGGATTCCTCTCTAGGTCTGAGTTGAAAAAGAGAAGAAAGAGCTGGCATGGGGGAGTGAAAAAGAGGGGTGGAGGGAACCTCAGAGGCTCCATTTACAAATGAATGGGGGTTAGAATGGAGCAGTTTGTGTGCTAAACTGGCCTCAGAAGGAGGTTTACAGATGTGAGAGGGGACGCTCCTCATTGTTTAATTAAGCAGAAAGTGGATCTTTTCAAAAGCAATTTTGCACAGGGACTGGGAGGGGTGGGAGGAGAGAAGGGAGGTGGGGAGGAGATCAACAAACAGGCCCTGAGAGCAGAGAAAGGAACAGCTGGCCCCAGAGAGGCTGTGAAATGCATGCTAAGCAGTTTAAAGTGCCCAGGAACTCTGCTCAGCTCCTGCCCTCCCTCACCAGATTCCCTTTAATGTCACTAAGCAAGAGGCAGAGGGCAGAACAAGGTGAGGCAGACAGTCTCCTCCAGAGGCCAAAATGGCCATAAGTGATTGATGCCTACTCTACAAATCTCTGTCAATCAAAGCATTCCTCCCCCAAACACAAACATGCAACCTCTCTCTAGATCACCACACTCTATTTCACAGAAATGTATATTCCTAGGTCTAGAAGCAAATTTTTTTTTTTCTGTCCCGAACTAGAGGTGTCAAATAGATGACACCCACCCCACATTCTACAGATGGGGAAAAGGAGACCTGCGGAAATCACTGATCTCAACTGCCTACTGCTGGTACTCCCCTTTTGCAGTCTCTCCCCCTTTGGCTTTACCTTTTCTCTTCTCTCACCTTGGCTGAGTTGGAAACTCTTGTTTGTGAGCCTTACCATTATAATCCATAATTTTTTGTTTGTTTGTTTGTGACAGGGTTTCACAATGTAGCAAGGCTGGCCTTGAACTTAGGATCCTTCAGCTCTAGCTAGCCTCCAGGTGTTGGGATTACTGACTTGTGCCACCACACGCAGCTACAATCCATAATCTATGGCTGCTGCTATTTCAGCTGGACCCTCCAAGTGGCAACTCCTGGACTGGGATGGCTGCCAAATGAAAGATCTGGGCATGTGTTTGAGGAGACTGTAAGACTTTCCCCAGCAGGGCCAGTTCCTGTTCTCCTGTTGGGCTTATATATGACAGGGTAAAGCCTGACAGGTGCCAACTAACTCTGAGGCTCCAACTCAGAGGCAGAACCTATGCCTCTGAGCACAGCAGGGCATAAATGGGAACCAGGAGTAGACAGACCCACAGCCAAGGGTCAAAAGACTAAGCAACAGGGACACTGCTTTCTCTCCCAGGGGGACAGGTCAATTCTTCCTCTCTATGAAGTGGTTACAGGATGAAGGATCACAAACTCAAGTCCTAGTCCAGTTTCCCTACTTGGGTAACTCTGGGCAGGTCTCAGCCCCTCCCAGGTTTGGGAGCCTTGGTGAGCGCATCTATTGGGGTCATAATGAAAATGAAACTAGCTGTGGAATGAGTGAACACAAGTGCAAAAACTGGAAAATGGTCAATAGGTATACAATATCAGGGTGATTAACAGAGCCTCTGGACTCTGGAGACCCTGAAATCTGGGTATGATTCCCAGTGCTACATGACTTAAGGTGAGACTTCTGACATCTCTGCATTTTGGATGGGTTTATTTCATGGTGCTGGGGATGGAACCCAGCCTTGTACATGCTGGGCAAGCCTGACTTCCACCTTTTAAAATGGAAGTAATGGTAGCTTCCTCCTAGGAATTTGTGACAAGATTTGCATAATCAACTAGAGCTTTGCCTTCCACTTCAAATCCAGCCTTTCTCCCTTATGATCCTGGTTTTCCTTTACTTCTTTGTCCACCTCAAGGCCTTTTATCCCTTGGGGCCATCTCAGTGCTATCCTCTTTGCTCTCCCTCTGTAGTTTATTAGGCTGGCTTCCTCATCAGGCCCTCTCTTCAATGTCTTCTCCTTAAAGAGGTCTTTCCTGGCCACTGTTAGTCCCATTCAAAACATCCCTTTATTCTCCTCATACTAACTCCTTGTTTGTAATTATACAGTTATACATTTATTTGTTTCCTTGTTTATTACCTGGATCCACTTCTGTCACACAGTTAACACCAAGAGACCAAGAACCACACATCTGTTTTGTTCACTGAGCACCCAGCAATGAGTATAGTGACTGATACAAAGGAGGCACACAAAAAATATTGCCAACTTCATGAATAAAAAAGTACTTACTACAGTATCTGGCTCTAGCTGACTACTCAACAAATGAATGACATGGGGCTGGATTTATGAAAATTTGTGGAGTTTTGTGTCAAGCAAACTAAAGGTGAAATAAATCACAATTGGTGGTATTTTAATAAACTTCTACGCAAGGTCTTTGAGAGGCTTCATCTGAGAATCCCTTGTTCCTTCCCAAGGCTGCCAAGGTTGCAATGGCTTTCTGCCAAACTATAGTCACCTTTGTTATCCTGATGTTTAACCTCAACCACCTATCCATTCCCAGTTCAAGGTGAGCAGTGCTCTGTTCCTCAGAAAGTATCCCCCAAGTCTCTAAGAATGTCAGACAGACTTCTACACCATCACACCCTGATCCAAGGGATAGCCAGTATGGTTGTGGCAGCCAGCGAATTTGGATAATTGTTCGATTCCTGACAGAAATGATAGGATTCCAGAAGAATCCTATCAATTCACTTGACCATTTCCTCCTATGCACCTTTAGGAATCTCATTCCCCTGTCTCTTCACATGATTGATGCCCTCTTCTCCCCAGAAGTATCTCAGCCATACATGGAGACTGGGCTTCTATCCTGAACATTCTGCTCTTACTAGGACCCGCTGCCAGTGCTGCAAAAGACCTAGGCTATGCTGATGGTCATTCAACCAGACCTGAGAGTTAACTCTGTTTTTTTGAGTGGTCCTGGGGTTTGAACTCAAGACCTCATGTTTTCTAGGCAGGCGCTTTACCACTTGAACACTCTGCCAGCCCTGTTTTGTGTGTGTGTGTGTGTATGTTAGATATGTTCAAGATAGGGTCTTTGAGCTGCAATCCCACTCATCTCTGCCTCCTGAGTAGCTAGGATTATAGATGGCAGCCACTGGCGCCCAGCTGAGAGTTAACTCTTTAAAATTAGAGAAATCCTACCCACTCCCACTTCAGCAAGGCTAAGTAATCCCACAGACCCACACATGTCCATTGACCCCACAGAGAGCTTAAAAAGCCAATACTCACAGGGTTCTTCCTGCCCAGGCAAGGTGACTTGATGCTTTTTTACTCCGTCAAACAGTAGCTCCGCACCGCCTCTGCAAAGGAAAGCCAAAGAAAGTAAGACAGGTGAGCTCCTGCAAATAGGAGGTAGCTGAACCTGAGAACTGAGAACAGGATTGGTGGTAAAAGCCCAAGAGAGCCGGGCACTGGTGGCTCATGCTTGTAATCCTAGCTACTTAGAAGGCAGAGATCAGGAGGATCATGGTTCAAAGCCAGCCAGGGCAAAGAGTTCTCAAGATCCTATCTTGAAAAAACATCACAAAAAAGGGCTGGCAGAGTAGTTCAAGGTGTAGGCCCTGAGTTCAAAAACGCCTCCGGAAAAAAAGAAAAAGGAAAAAAAAAAAGCCCAAGAGATGCCAAGAGCCAGGTGGCTCAAGCCTGTAATCCTAGCTACTGAGGAGTCAGAAATCAGGAGAATCGAGATTTGAAGCCAGCCTGGGCAAATAGTTCAAGAGACCCTATCTCGGAAAAAAAAAAAAAAAAAAAAAACCACATCAAAAAAAAGCCAGCAAGGGCAAATAGTTCAAGAAAACCCTATCTCAGAAAAAACCATCACAAAAAAAGGGCTGGTGGAGTGGCTCAAGGGTGGGCCCTGAGTTCAAGCCCCAGTACCCCAAAAAATAAAAAAATAAATAAGATGCCAAGAGATACTAAGTTTCAGGATCACCTTGGGTACAAGTGACTGTTTCTCAATGTGACTTCCAATGTTGTAAAGTAGTATGTAAATAAGTTTTACTAATAAGCAAGCATGCAAATTTGTAGCCTCTCATTTTAACTCCTCTGCTTTCTTGAAAGGCAGCTTAACATACAGCCGCAGAACACGGACTTTGGAGTTGCCAGTCCCAAGGTGGGGACCAGGTTCCACCTCTGTCTACCAGCCAGACCCTGGCCATGTGAATTGATATTTCTTGAGCTTTACTCCTTCCCTCTAGAAAAATGCTGAGAAGCCTTAATAAGGCCCTCTGGAGACCCTATGCACTTTGAGGTTTCCTTCAGCCAGATGAGGACTGGAAACACCCTTGTCCCTACTGCCTGGTGGGCATACTACAGCACTATAGGCCAAGAGAGTCTACTGGGCTAGTGTTAACTAAGAACAACTGTTCGTAATACCTTGCCATTTCTAACATGCTCTTCATCTCACCCTTAGGCCATTCCAGCAGGAAGGGAGTGAAGTAGACATTATTAACTCCATTTGATGGAGAAGCAGACTGCAGCCTAGAGAGGTTAAGTGACTTGTCCAAGGTAGGACAAGTCAATCTAACTAGTTCATGATTAGTCTTGTCCCCCCACCAAAAAAAAAAAAAAAAGGTTCCTCAAAGGTCAGAAAGCCCCTTGAAGGCAAAGAGGTTCATTTCTGTGTCTTAGCACCTGGTCAACTGAAGGCACAGCAGAGCTCTTTCAGTGCCCCACACTGCCTTCCATTGGGTCTCCTAATTCCCATCTCAGATGTCATGTGGATTGAACGAAGAAGGCCTTAACAGACTTTTGATGGATGTGATACCTCCCACCCAACCACCCTCTCCCAATTTTAGGGAACAGAGATGTCCTGAGGCAGCCCACTGGGAGGCAAAGGCAAGACAAACATTGTCATGGGGGAAACATGGGGCGACTGTCATCCAAACAAGGTCACACTTTGTTGATGCAGAAATGTGGAGGGGGAGCAGAGGCCCATCTGTGGCTGTGCACAGGGCCATTTCAGCTGCAAGCCTGGACAGAGCCTCCATTTATCCCCTTCCAAGAGTCTCATTTTCTTCTGGGTAGGGGTTGGCACATGCAGCAGCTGGGATGGGGGAGGGTGATAGGCAAGGGGCTCAGGACTTGGGGGTCAGAGACAAGGGATGAGAACTGAAGGCACTGGGACCTAGGCAAACAACCAAGCGTGGCCAAACCTGGTGGTGCCAGGCTCTGAAACCAAGCCTATTTTTCCCTTTACCAGAGAACGAAAGGAGAACCAGTCTGGCTCAGAGAGTGGTCTGTCACTGCTGAGTTCACTGGGCCCTAAGGGAGGGGCTGGCATTTCTACCAGCACATCTGGAGTGGGGGAAGGTGCATGCCCTGCCTATGGAATGATTTGGGGAAGCAAACAAGGGGCCTGTTCTGGTTCCAGAGGTTCAAGACCATTACCCTCTTTTGTCTCACAGGATTTGGCATTCAAACCCAACTAAGATACCTTCATCTTCTCCTTACCCCTCAATTCCTGGTGAGTATGTTTGCTGATACCAGGGACAGGTATAGACATTCCCCAAACTGTCCTCACATTTCCTAATTTATTTGTACCTTTAAAAAGTTATCCATCCATGCATTTGTATTTGTCTATTTTTCTTCCACATACTGGAATACAAACTAAAACAGGGCCTGGCACACAGAAGGTACTTAACAAACATTTGTCGAATGAAAGTGCCCATTTCTCCCACTTCTCTTACCTTAATGGTTTGCCCACTCTTTGCCAATTATGTCCCCCAACCCCACCAACTTGGGAAGGAGGAAAAGGGAGGGGACGAAGGAAATCTTCTATATAGGTCTTTTCAGCCTGGACAGAAGGAACCCAAAGCATAGCTATATTACACATTTAGAATTCTGTGTCCTGAGAAAATACTCTGCCAAGATCAGGGAGCAAGCCAAAAGATGGCAAAACTGGTTCTTGATAAGAGAGAAAGATGGGAGAGGTTGGTCTTCTAGAGGACTCATGACAGAGCTGGTAGGGCCAAGAGGACTACATCTGCTCAGAGATTAGAGATAAATCTCCAGACTCTTCCAGGATCAGTAGGGGTGGAGCTACTCAGGGAAACAAGGGAGAGAATGAAGAGCAGGCAAATCTGCTCAGGTTCAGAGTGAAGAGTTCAGCATGTATGCTAACAGATGTAGGAAATGAAAGGTAAAAACAAGCAACAACAGAGAAGGGACCTAGATTTGACATGCATCTTACTTCCTAAGCTGCAATTCTGATGGTACACTGTGATGTGGACAGAAGAGAAAGGAGGATTCCTTGCTTGCTTGGGCTCACTAATGCTCTTGGAAGTAATGGAGTTTCAAGCTAGAAAAGAGGCAATTATGTTGGCCACTGAACTATGTAAGGCAAGGGTCTTATTTACCTCATAACTCCCCCACTGCTGCCAGCACAGTATCTGGCAAACAGAAGACATCTCTGGTGAATAAATAGCATGTCCGACTCAGTGAGAAAATGAAAGGCAAGTTGGCTGTGGATAAACCTTAACACTGGCAGTCTGTAGCTTTTCCCTTTTCACTTCTGCCCGTCAAGGCAGCAGGAATCCTCCTATTATCCCCAGGCTGGGTGAGAGGTACAGCTGGGCCAAGGGTCAGAGAGACAAAATAGTCAGGAGGCTGGACCAATGCAGTTCTAATTGGATCCAAGTGACCAGACAATATCATCAATTAAAATGCACTTAACATTCATGAGACTACCCGCTTCAAAGGGACAGAAATGCTGGACACTGTAGAGAACGGACAGAATGCTATTTATCTTTGTAACCTCAATGTCTGGCTCACTGCCTGGCACATGGTAGACACTCAGTAAATGACTGGAGAACAAACTACCCAAATGAAGGGAAAACATTAAAAAAACTGGGCAATCCAAAGGGAGGAAAGGTATTTGGACAGAGGTTTAAGACTTTTCCTTTCACACAGACCTGGCTTATCTACAGACACATGCAAACACGTGCATGCACGCGCACACACACACGAGTGCACACTTACTCCTAGCTTTTCCATTGACTCTGGAAATAACCACCCATCTTTTAGAGCCCCAGTTTCTTTGCCTTCTCTCTAAACTCTGAAGTTTTTCTATTGCGGTTTTTGAAATCATGACAAACATGTTTGTTGGAGAGACAAGATTTCCAATTTACTCTGTTTCTTCAGCTATTGGTGTGTGTCCCGATTCCTGTACTTTTCATCTTCTGTAAGCCATATGCCAATGTTAGTCTCCCCTAGTGTGGTATCTTATTTATTCCCATATCTTTACCTCACTCCTATCTGCGGAAAACATTCAGCAAGTTTAATATTCTGAAAGAGGCTCAAGTCTTTTTAAAACCCCCAAGTCTTGGTTAGGAGAAAGAAATAAGTCCCGTCTCGGCCACACATCCCAGGAGAAACAAGGCCTTAAGAATAGTCTAAGCGGGAACTGCTGCCTGAAGAATCAAGGGTTGAAGAATGTTCCTTCTGACTCAGAAGATGCCAGCCAGATAGGGCTGATCCAGAAAGAGACTAATAAAAACCCCAGGGTAGGCGCCTGTTAACTGTTAGGCCTCTTGAGCCCTACACGATACAGGACATGGCAAAGTACCCAATGCGCACCTTCCCGCGCGTCTGTGCGCCTCTATTCCCAGACATACGGCGTCGTCGCCTAGGAACTCCGAGCCTCTTAAACTTGAGGCAGGCGGCAGGGCTCATGGCGGGCGCCAGAAACCTCGGCAACTCGGCCATGTCAGGCTCCAAGGCAGGAGGGGAGTTTCGGACTCGACGACTTCAAACTATCCCCACGACGCCCCAGCTCTGTGACTCACCCGAACTCCACCTCCACTGACAAGGGCGCTGCCATGTTGAGGAAGCCGGACTAGCAGGAAACGCCCCTCAACTTCCGGTGCGCCCGCCCACTTCCGGTTTCCGGCCAGCGACCGGACGGAAGAGGTAGTGCCTAAGGATCCATTCTCCTCTGTTATTGGAAGAAGGCACGGAGGGTGGAAGGGAGGGAAGGAGTCCGGCGTTGTTGGACGTTGAGAGTTGATTTCCCTTCGGCTTTTGGAGACGGGGCTCAGAGCTCTGTGGAGGGGAGCTGTGTTTGTATCAGACCACGACTAGGCTGACGAGAGCTCTCCATGTATCTTTGCGACATGACTGTGAGCCACATTACAGTTTATTTTGCATTAATTATAAATCTGCCTTCCGCCAGTACACTGCTTGGGCAAGCACATTCTCTGACTTGAATTATTAACGACTCCAAATCTTTACTTGCGACCCACAAATCTCTCTCCTAAGACAGCAACTGAGCCCCTTTCGATGTTGACTTGGATGTCATCCACTCAGAAGCTACTTATTGCGCGTTTATTTACCAAGCATCTCGTTTGGTAGTAAAAGGCATAGGAAAGGTTCCTTCCTTTAGATCACGCGCAGTGTAGCGGGGAGACATGCTGTGACCAAGTAAACATACTAATAATATTAATAAGTATACGGTCTCAAGAACTATTTGTCTGGGCTGGCCTTGAACCGCGATAATCCCGATCGCAAACCTTCCAAGTACCTAGGATTACAGGTGTGAGCCACCAGTGCCCAGCTTTATCTCCTTTGAAACCTGATTTTGCAACCCCAAATTCCTCCATACCCCTCAGTTCAGAACCCTACCCTCTCACCTGCTTCCTCTGGCCTGCCTGCCTCCCTACTCCCTCTCTTTGCCTTAGCTTCTTTGTACAACTCAAAGGACACCTCTAAGTCCCTTCATTATGCCAGGCACTGTTCTAGGACACTGATAAAACAAGAGCAAATAAGACTGAACCCTGGTTCTCTAAAAGCTCAAATGAATCATATGGTCCATGAGAAGACTCCCCCCCCCCATATTCACTATGCTATGTGGGTAGATCCTTCCCCTCTCTGAAACTTAGGTCCCTCAATCTTTAAAGAGTTTGGGACCAAATGATCTCTTAGGGTCCTGTCATCAAAAATATTCTAAAGTTCTTCCACTGGACTTTTAGTTTCTTCAGAGCAGAAACCTTTTCTGATTCATCTTAGATGCTTACATAAGGAGGAACTCTGTACTCTGGTAGGGGTTTGCTGAACCAGAGAATAAAGGAATGAATGATACTTGCCAATAAGGGCCCACTTAGAAGGTATTCAGGGTTACTTAGAGTCTGATCCCAGCCAACCTCAATTGGACATCCTAAAAACCTGAGAATTGCTGTCTCCCATAGCTGAAACACAGTGCTTGAGAACACTTGAAATGCTTCAATCATTACACAAACCTTCATTGAGCACCCTTTAGGTGTGCCAGGCTTAGTGCTGGTGCTGGGAACACAATGGTGAACAGCCCCTCCTGGGGCTGATGTTTAGAAGACATTTACTGCAAAATAGGCCACTTGGTAAGATCTGTGTCATGGAGGAGGACCCAGGGGATGTTGAAGGCCTCTAACCCTGGGATCTGGGAAGGCTTCTCAGAAATCATAGCAAAGCCAAGTTCACAGAGACTTGGAGGTGGAAGTGAGGAGGGAGAGAGCACAGGCTGGCTAGAGACATTTCCTCCCTCTGGGAATCAACAAACAAGTAGTCCTCCAGCTTGTCCTGGGAGCTCATCTCTGGGTTAAGTCAGACCATTATGTGGGTGATAGCTGTCACTCATAAAGTCCTTCTTCCTACTCCACACCTGCTCTACTCAACCCCCCCAGTTAGCAACAATACTAGTTTAACATTTTATTCGTCCAAAGAGTATTTATTGAACACTCTGCACCTGCCAGATGCTTTACATGCATTACCTAATTTATTCCTAACAGGGACTCCCATTTTTCAGATGAGAAAACTGGGACTCAGAACATTTGGCTTGCACAAGGACCTTTAAGTGTCAGTCCTCAAACCAGGTTTTCAAGCCTTCAGGATTCCATTCCCTCCTGCTTGGCCCTCATTCACTGCTTCCCCAGGCACTTGTCTCAACTAACCGCCTTTCCCTTGGATCCCTGCGAATAGGCAGGGGCTTGGGCCCCATTCCTTCCTCTCTAGCAGGCCAGCCAGCCAGGGCGTAGACCTCCATCCTCTCTGAAGCTCCTTGGGAGACAATGGCGGGGTCGGTAAGGGAGGCGAGGGAGGGCGCGAGTGCCCCCCCTGCCCACTGCCCTTTGTCTTCCCGCCTGCTCCCCTCGTGCGCCCCGGGAGGCTGGGAGGCGCCTCTCGCAGGCTTCCTCCTCCCATTCTTGTGCTAATTGGGTGTCAAGCTGAGATCAGTGAGAAAGAAATCCGCCCTGGCTCGGGTTAAACTGCCGCCAAAGATGAGGGCTAAGCCCAGAATATCATTAGGCAGGGAGGAAGCTGGGGCCCCTTCTCCGGGTAGGGGTTGGCCGTGCATTCAGGCCCCTTTCAGAGTCACTCCGTCGCCCACTTGCTTGCCCCTGCCGCCTCAATGGGCCCCTCGGAGGTATTTAACCTTCTTCCCAGGAATTGAAAGTGATAGCCACGCACTGGCCTGGGCAGCCACTTGCCTGTTCTGAGGGCGGCTGGACCTCCGGGGATGCTGGAGGCTGGCCCTTAACAGCCTCTCTGCGTGCAGCAGGAAGGCAAACAGGAACACTGAGGCTCAGGGAAGGGGAATTTTTTTCCCAGCTCTGCCATTCCCAGGCTCTGTGGACTTTGGGGAGCCTCTACATCTCTGAGCCTAAGGTCCCTCATTAGAGGAATGGTGATTAAAATACTTTTGAATTTAATGAGAACATGCACAGAAAGCCCTTTGCACAGGGCCTGGCACGTACTTGGTGGCCATTAGTAAGGAAGTATACAGAACAGCCAAAAGGAGCTCCCAGTTTCTGGAGGCAACAAAGAAGTGCCGGTAATTCACTTTTCACATCATGTGCCAACTCTAACCCCCTCTTCACTGTCCAAAGTTACTTGTTTTTAAGCCACTCCGAGAGCATCCTTCCCTTTAGTCTCCACAAGGAAGAGAATGATCATGGATAACAAATGGCAGTTGCAGAGAAGCAACATCCATTCACCTTTAGGGAGCAACATCCATTCACCTTTAGGGAGAACCCTGCCTTGTGGTTTCTGGTGCTCTGCACGTTCAGGGAAAACAAAAGCAAAACAAAAAAAAACTTTCCAGTGACAAAGTAGAAATGATCACTGAAGCCAGAGGTGGTGCTACAAGCCTGTAATTCCAGCACTTCAGAAGCTGATGCAGGCCAGCCTGGGCTGTGTAGCCCAGACCATCTCAAAGAAAAAGGAGGGGGAGGGAGGCTGGCAGAATGGCTCAAGGGGCAGAACACCTGTCTAGCAAGTGTGAGGCCAATTTCACACCCTGAGAAAATAGATAAGGAACCTGAAGGCCTTGACCTTTGCCTTGACCACTTCCATAGAAGCCCTCTCCATACCCCCAGGGTACTGGGTTAGTGCCACTGAGCACACAGCTTTGGCTTCACTGGTAAGCCCTCACCCCCAGGCTGCAGACACTGAGCTCCCTGAGCAGATCCCAGGGGCTCAACAGAACTGACACTGCCCTGGTAAACTGTGAAGCACTAGATAAATGTCAAGAGCTGCCCAATCAGCAATAGCTATTGTTAATAACTTCACAAGCATGTATTGCGCAACTACTGCATACATGGAAATGACTCACATGGCCATGGTTTGGGGATGACCAGATGCTGATCTGAGAGCTGCAAGGTCCACATGCCCACCAGTGTCTCCATAATGGAGGGATTGAGGGGTGGTTCTGGTGTGGAAGTAGGAAACAGCCTAGTCTGGTGTTTTAATATCTGAACATGTGTCCTTTTTTCTCCAAACTACTGTGCATTGAAAACTGGGCGTGGAAGGAAACACCTATAATCCCAGCACTAGGAAGCCTAAAGCAGGAGTCTGAGGATAACCTGGGAATATATAGTAAGACACTGTCTCAAAAAAAAAAAAAAAATACATGAATGACTGTGCACTGAGCAGATACCAACCTCAGGCTCCATGCTAACAGATTTGCATGCACAATCTCAGTATATAGTATATATATATATTTAATTTTTTTTTGTGGTACTGGGGCTTGAACTCAGGGCCTTCACCTTGGGCCACTCCACCATCCCTATTTTTTGAAGGGTTTTTCATTATAGGGTATCCCAGAACTATCGGCCTGGGTTGACTTTGAACCGTGATCCTACTGATCTCTGCCTCCTGCTTAGCTAGGATTACAGGCATGAGCCACCGGCACCTGGCACAATCTCAGTAATACTTTTGATAACTATCCCCTAAAGGTAGGGATTCCTTGACCTCCATTTACATGAAAGTGAACAGAGGCTTAGCTTGGCAAATGGTGGGGATGGGATTTGACAGCAGAAGCCCCAGCTCTGAACTACCATACTACCTTTTGGTGACTGTATTCAACCTAGAAGAAGGAATGGCCCCCTCTAGGGCTCCTCCCCATTGTGGAAGTCACTACTGAGCATTAAAAACACAAAGCTGGGCTGGCAGAGTAGCTCATGTGATAAGAGTGCCTGCCTAGCAAGTGTGAGGCCCTGAGTTCAAACCCCAGTGCTACCAAAACCAAACCAAACCCCACAAAGCTGCTCTGCCAGTCTTGGAAATTTGAAGGTCCTGAAAGCCTGGCCACAGGATCCTGAGTCTGGTACCTGCTTAGGGGTAAGGTCTAAGGAGGCATTCCTCTCCTTCCAGCTTTCCTTGGCTGAGGGCTAAGGGCCAGGAGTGTTATCCAGGCTCCATACACCCTCTGCCGGTCACATTTGCCACGGCAGCTAAGCCTTTTACTCTCAAACCCCCTCTGCATCTGAGTAAAGGCCCCCATTCAAGCTCTGCTCCTGTCTTTCTCCCAGAGGTACCAAATTCATCTATCTTTCAAAGGCCCCTCCCCTAGGATGCACCTTAAGATTTCTTAGTCTGGCCACTTACTGCCTGAACTGTCAGCTGCTGGCTTAGGGCGTGGCCTCACAGGCATGCAAGGAATAACAGATTCTGGCTTCCTGCTGCTTTCTGCACCATGTGGCAGGGTGGTGCAGCAGTATGGGCATGAGGCTCAGTCCGCATTCCAGCCCCCACTACTTGTGTGACCTTGGCCAAGTGACTCAATATCCAAACTCTGGGTCTTTTCTTGGATAGTCCATTTATAAAAATGGCCTCACAGATTCAGAGTGAGGGTTGGAAGGTGGAGGTAAAGCCCCAGGGCACTTGCTACCCACTGCCCTGGGCTGTGCTGGGACACTGCACTGATTCCAACCAGGACATACCACTGGGTCCAGGAGACAGGAGCTGACTACTCCAGAGCTGGGGCAGCCTCACTCTGGCTTTCTGGCAGTCACCCTGGTAAATCTTTCCAACCCTAAACTATTGGGAAAATGCCCTGTAGATGGGGAGCAGCAGAGCAAGAGCCTGGAGATAACCCTGATGCTGGCCACCCCACCAGGGTTTCCCCTCAGACTGAGCATACCCCTTCTTCATATGGTTCCCTGTAGCTCTTGATTCTTCATAACTGATCATTCCCATTAAACATAGACTAGGTCACTTGCCCAAAGCCACTTGCTTCTGGGTAAGTTGGTTTGGACTCTGATGCTACAGGTAAACAGTTAACTCAGTGGGAACTGCCCCCATCCTAGCTAGTACATGGAGGGGTAGGGGGGAAGGGGGTGTTTACCTGCCCTATTTCAAGTCCAAGTTAGTGAGCCAATGGGCCAGAGAGGCAGGAGACAGGGGCCTAAGCAGGCTGGGGGTGGACTGGGGGCTCTAGGTGGAATGGATCTTAGGCCGAATGAACACGGGCTAAGAGGAGTCAAGGCAGAATTTATTGGCCCCTAAGTCCACCCCCCATCTTTCCTCTCACAACCTGGCCAGGACTGAGATGGAGAAGGTGACACAGAAAGGCCCCCTCTGAGAAACAGCCAGGCAGCTACCAGGGAGACGAGTATGTGGGAGTCTGGAGAGACAGGGGGCACTGTCCTGATTTCCTGGGGCATGGATGGCCAAGCAGGGTCCTCTTCCTTTCCTCTCAGCAGATGCCACTTGGGGAGCTCTGGGGCCAGGATCCTCCCTGGCCACCTGACCGATGGCCACTACTGTCTCTGTCCATTCTGTTAGCTTCCTGAGTTTGGGGGCTTCTGCCTTGGTCCTGTTTGCAAGGTCCTGCTCTTTGGAGGGAGCTTGGTGACCCCTTTGCCTCTCCCTGCTCTACATGACCAAAGACATCATCCAAAAGTATCCATTAGTCCCAGCCTGGGCCCAAGTCTCTGCTGGGCCCAGAAGGCAAAACATGGACACGAGGCTTTCACAGAAAGCCTGTGGAGGAATGAGGAGGCGGCAGTGAGTCATTTGGCAGTTTTGGAGGAAGGGGGTCAACACCTTGGGGCAAAGGTGCGGGCCCTGCTTGCTTTGGTCTGGCATTGCCCAGGACCCCTCGGGGGTGGAAGCTGGAGCTCTGGATCCAGCTTCCGCTGGCCCTCACAGGGACATGGGGAGCAAATCACAGCTTTTCCTCGCCTGCCTGGATGCGAGTATAGGCTTCTTGGTCCAGTGGGACATAGCGACCTTTCCGGGTATCCAGGTAAAACAGATGGTCTTTCACCACTGCTGGATTAAAGCCCTCCTTCCGCAGCTCTGTCTTCTGGAACTTGTAGGTCCCTGGGGAGTGGAGAAGAAGATTCAGAAAGTGTAGAGCAGGGGCCTGAGCTCTCAGGGTCCTGACCCCTGGTGTTGAAGAAGGGTAGAGGAGGGCTGGACAGAAAAAGAGAAGGGTGGGAGGGTGGCCAGTCCTTCAGAGTTTGCAAAGCATGGTCCATCCATTACATTATGAACTCCTTCTCAAGAGCAGCATTGACAAAGCACAGCTAGGGGCAGACACAGGGACAGCTATGCTACTCTCCCAATTTCCAGATGGGAAAACTGAGACCTAAAGAAGGGAAGCTATTTGCCCAGAGTTACCACTGAGTAACAGCACAGTAGAAACTAGAACCCATGTCTTTTGTGATGGTTCCCTTTACTTGAGTACCTACTAGAAGTAGGTATGCCTCAATCTCTTGAGGCAGGTACTCAACCGTAGTCCATGGATTCTAAAGTACATGTGTTTTTCAGATTTTAACATCTTTAAAATAATTTGATCAGCTGCTGTTTTTTTTTTTTGGGTGGGACTGGTGTTTGAACTCAGGGCTTAGTGCTTGTAAAGCAGGCATTCTACTGCTTAAGCCATGACTCCAGGCATTTTTGCTCTGGTTATTTTGGAGATGGGGTCTTACAAACTATTTTCCCAGGCTGGCCTCGAGCTATGATCCTCCGATCTCAGCCTACCAAACAGCTAGGATTACAGGCCTGAGCCACTGGTGCCTGGCTAGCCACTTTCTTTTCTTTTCCTTCTTTCTTTTTTTTTTTTGGCGGTGCTAGGGTTTGAACTGAGAGCCTTCACCTTGGGCCGCCCACCAGCCCTTTTTTGTGAAGGGTTTTTGAGACGGGATCTCATGAACTCTATGCTCAGGTTGGCTTCGAACCACGATCCCCTTGATCTTTGCTTCCTGAGTAGCTATGATTACAGATGTGAGCCACAATACCAGGCTGACTAGCCGCTTTCTTATAAAGACAAATACCATGTTTCAATTAATGAATAAAGAAGACTGATACTCAAAGAGGCACAGCTAGTGTCACACAGCTAGTAAGTGATAGAGCAGAGATTTAAACCTGGATTTGAAAGATTGCCAGAAATGGCTATAGAATCCTCCTTGTACCCACTTGCCTCTTCTTCCAGCAGGAACACTCTTGAATCTAGACTGGCCTTATGACTTGCTTTGACCAACAGAATGTGGCAGAGCCCATGTTCTGGGAATTCTGAATGAGTCTTGGCCTCAAGGGGCCTTGTTACTTCCACCTACCCTCTGAGACCAATGCAGCCTTGGGAAGAACAGAGATAAACCAAGCCACATGAGGCCCCTAGAATGGTGCTGTCCATATATGTGGCTATTTAAATTTAAAGTTAAACAAAATTTAGATTTCAGTTCCTCAATCACACTAACCACATCCCAAGTTCTCCAAACTATGCAGGATTAGGAGCTACCCCACTGGCTAGGAGAGAGATGGAACATTTCCATCATCACAGAAAGTTCTTTTGGACGGGGCTACAGCCAAGAGCTGCATAGGACTAAGGCCACTGCAGACCCTCCTTCCCAACAAGTTCACTAAATGATGGCAGCTCTTTGAGCTGAACTTAACCCCCAAATTGCTGACCCACAGAATTGTGAGCAATAAAGTGATGTTTTAACCCCTTTGCAGATCATATGTTCTGCAATAAGGTCATCTGGAATCCCAGGCCTGAGCCTAACCTGCCTCTTCTGGACAGAAGTCATAGATGTCAAACCCTTAAGGAGTTCACAGTACCCCTAAGCCACTTGCAGTCCTTTCCCACTTTACTCAGCAATTGGAGATCTCTGTCGGAAATGAACCTGACTAGGTTACTACACTGCTCAAATACTTTTGTCACTCTCTACTGTCCTGGGTTAGTCTAAACCCATCCTGGTGTATAAGGTCCTGGACTTCTGCCCTGCTGGCCTTTCTCCCACCTCACCCCACTGCTTGACCCACCTGAAGCCTCTCGCTTTGGGGGCCTCTTTTCTTTTTTGTTTTCAATTTGATAGCATAGTATTTGTATATAACCTTCACCCACTTCCATACTTACTTACTTACTTATTTCTTGTTTGTGGTGCTGAGGATGGAACCCATGCTAGTCATGCTAGGCAAAGGCTCTACCATTGATCCAACACCTAGTGGAGGCCTCTTTCATTCTTCCAGTGCTGACACTCCTTTCTATCTCAGGGGTTTCACACTTGCTGTTCTCACAGCCTGGAATGTTTCCCCTGACTCCATGAATTCCTCATTAGGTCTGAATTCAGCTAAACTGTCACCTCCTCAAGGGATCCTTCCAGTCATCCCAAATGCCCCTTCATTTGCTTTCTTGCAGCTTGACCTGCAGTGCATTCCATAGCTTGTGAATTCCTTGTCCCATAGCTCCCTCCCTCTGACTCTAATTCTAAAAGCTCTAAGAAGGCAAGGTCAGATCAGGCCTGTGTCTTCAAGGCCTAAGGCAGTAGCAGTCACCAGACAATGATTCCGGTAGTGGACAGTGACCCTCCTCCTCTAAAGATGTACTTCCACACAGGGGGCAGTTCCCCCGACTACCTGGCAAGCCCTAGTCTCTCCAAGAGGAATGGGGAAGACTCAGGACTAGAACCTAGGAGCCAGAGCAGGGGAGGGACAGACCTGTTTTGTGTAGCTCAGGCAGAACGCGCAGGAAGATGGGGCGGGCATACAGGGGCAGCTCCTTCTCCAAGGCCTGTACAAATTGTTCCAGGTCACAGTTGCCGGTGGGGCTGGCCACAGCTGCCATTCCTGCCCGGCCCTCAGCTCCTGAGGAAAGGGTGGACAGTGAGGGGCGTGTGGTACCCCCATGGCGCCTCCTGAAATGCACTTCCCTTCCCCATACATACCTGGCACCTCAACACCATATACTGCAACATCAGCCATGTCCAGCAAGCGGCTGAGCGTGCCCTCTACCTCAGTGGTAGACACGTTCTCGCCTTTCCACCGGAACGTATCCCCTGTGCGGTCTCGAAAGTATAGGTAACCCAGCTCATCCATCACCAGCACGTCACCTAGGAAGTGGTTGGTAAGGCTGGACCTGAGCTGGCCTGACTCTTGGTCCAAGGACTTGAGCTGGGGAAGTCCTGGGCATGTGTTTGCTAAAGGTGGCAGAAGTTCCCCTTATCTCCCCCACCCCCTCTGGTGGTAAAGGTATGGGGACCCACCAGTGAGGTAGGCTTGGTCTCCCTTCTTAAAGACATCCTTAGCGATCTTCTTGTTATTGGCACCCGAGTTGAGGTAGCCGTCAAAGCGGCGCAAAGGATCTTGCTGAATGATGCGGCCCACCAGCTGGCCTGGCTGGCCTGGGGGCAGAGAGGCCAGAGTCAAAATTGTCCTGAGTGGTCTCTTCAACCTGTCTTCCCCAGCAACGCACCCTGTATCCTAATCTGACTTGATTCATACTGCCTGCTACGGAAACATCCCATTTCTAGGGCTGGGGGTGTAGCTTGGTGATAAGCGTGTGCTTAGCATTCACTAGATCCTGGGTTCAATCCCCAGAACCACAAAAAAGGGGGAAAAAAATGTCCCACTTCACCTCCAACCTGGGAGCTCACTGAGGGCAGGGAGCTTATCTTGGTAGGTCTGACACATTGGCCCCTCAGTGATGTGTGCCCACTGAACTAATGGGAGAAGAACAGGGTGCCAGCTCTACTGATAGTGAACAGGCCAGCACCGCTGAGCCCCTGTTCCAGTCCTGGTTCCACACAGAGAATTCTGTGTTCTTCACCGCATGTGATCTTTAGGTCAATCTAATGATGTGGTATGTGCCTACAAGTGAAGGATGTCGTCACCAAGAGGACGACTCGGCCACAGTGCACGCTTAAGAGGCAGAGCCAGAACCAACCACAGGTGGCCAGGACTCAGGCCCTTCTTGGGCCAATATGAAAAGGAATAGATGGACAAAGAAATGAGCAACTTGTGGTCCTAGGAGCAGAGCTGACTGATGGCCACTGATCAGAACAGACTCCCCATGAGCCCACACTGGCTGACCTCTCTACCAGGCCAATACCTACCCCTCCGACCCCAAATTCCCATGGGGGCAGACCTGGCTGGCAGGGAATGCAGACTCCATTAGGTCCCCGGATAAGCTCCATGGTGTCCTCGTTGACACGTACGAGCCGGATAGGGTACACAAAGGACAGGATGCGGCTGTTGAAGCCACAGGCCCCCACCTGTAAAGGCCAAGACTTGGGCCAGAGCTCCATGGGCTCCAAACTGGACAATGGGGTGAGGGAGGACCCTGGGACCCACAACTCTCATGCTGCCCATCCCTCTGGTGTCCCGAGCTTTCCATGGTTTTTCCTGTGGCAGCCTCATTATCCCCAATCTAGGCTGTACCTGGCTGTCAAAGTTGCCCAGGCTGCAGTTGCACTCGGTAGCCCCATAGAACTCGGCCACCTGGGGAATGTGGAAGCGGCTGGAGAAGTCGGTCCAGATGGACTGCCGAAGACCGTTGCCCAGTGCCATGCGTACTTGGTGCCGGGACTCTGCCTCCCGGGGAGGCTGGTTCAGGAGGTACCGGCACAGCTCACCAATGTACTGCACAATCTGAGATGGGCATGGTGTGGGTCCAGGTTCCTGGGGTGCACCACTTCACTGCTTTCTCATCCCTATAGTCCCTCCCCACTGCACGGGCTGGCTGTGCAGTCAGTCTCTTCCCTCTCTGGGCCTCAGTCTCCCCATATGAACAATGGGAATGTTGCCCAAGGAACCCTTCCAAATCATCTCAGCTGTACGACAGATACGCCAAAGTGTATGGGTATGTGTGTAGGGGCTGGCCAGGGGACAGGGACTGCTCATCCTCTCCCCTTCTCACTCACAGTGCAGTTATACTTGATACAGTCGTCCCAGAACCGGGAGGCTGAGAACTTCTTCCGGATCACCACGGTCATGCCATGGATCAGGCACTGGCCAACCCCCACAATATTTCCTGAGGGCAGAGGGGCCTGGAGGTCAAGGACACATGGACCAGACCCCCAGGGCCTTCTCCTGCCCAGGGCTACCTCTTTACAGGCCCTTACCACGGTCTTCTTCTCCTCTCAGTCCCACCTATACTAACTGATCACATCTCTCCACTACAGACACCATCCAGTGCTCAATCATTTTTTTTTTGGTGGTAGTGGGGTTTGAACTCAGGGCTCATGCTCGCTAGGCAGGTATTCTACCACTTAAACCACTCCACCAGCCCTTTTTTGTGTTGCATATTTTCATTATAGGGTCTCTTGAACTATTTGCCCAGGCTGGCCTTAAACTGAAATCCTCCTGACCTCTGCCTCCTGATAGGTAGGATTACAGGCCTAAGCCACTGGTGCCTCACCAGTGTATACTCTTTAGATTGCCCCCAGGGGACTCTGAAACTGATATTCAGCTGGCAGAACTGAGCTATCCTGCCTGGCTTTGACACCTCCACCTGCACTCTTCAGGATGTTTTCCCAGGCTTCCGCCACTGGCTCTTCCTGTACGCCACACTCATGCTGCCTGCCCCTCCTTCACGCTCATCACACCATCTGTCAGGTAGAAGAGGTGTGTTGTCCACCCCACCTCAAACACACACACCATCTTCAAGCACCTCAAGGGTAGGAACTATACTTACTCAAGCTCAGTCTTCCCTTTAGCCCCTATAACCAAGCAGCAATGCTGCACACACCTATAGAAACCAACCACAAGACAGACCAGTCCAGAGGCTTCTTGACACATTGCCTCACACCTTGAGACTGGTGTGGTCACCCGCAACGGACAAGAAAACAGAAATGGAGTCAATGGCCTTGCCTGGATTTGACTCCAGATTTGAGCTCTTGTGTTTTTACTGCAACATGCTGCCCTGCAAGAAGGGTGGGGTTCCTAAGGACCTGGGGGTCTGGAAGCTGAGAAGCAGATTCAGTTACCTGCTGAGTGGTAGAGGGGAAGGCAGTCATAGACAATGTCATCCGGCCGCATCCGGAATCCATAGTACACCAGGGCAGCCATGCGGTAATACCTGGGAAGGCACAGAGTAAAAGGTTTCGTGAGCCCCTGGAATGGCAGGAGGAGGCTGCTAGGCTGGATGCAGGCCCACCTCCACCCTGGGGCACCTGCCCCTTACCTGCTGTTTACCACAATGGCAGCTTTGGGTAGCCCTGTGGTGCCTGACGTGTAGATGTAGAAGAGCTTATCTAAAGAAAACAGACACATGGGCAACTGTGACAGGGCACAGCACAGAGCCAACAAGAATGAGATGGATGGTGCCTGTACATGGGCATCCAATATCCACCACCACCACCTCTTCCAGGAAGCCTACTCTGATGGCCTCTGACCCCACTCTGCTCTCATACCTTCTTCTACAAATACTTCCTGGGCCTCATTCTGTGCCAGACCCAGTGAGGGAGAGATATCAGTGGCTGAGATGGCATGCACCTAGCCTTCTTGGAGGTCCCAGCTGAGTGAGACAGTCAGATGATGACATGGGCACTTCTGACACTGAGCACCAAAGGTGGGAGCACAGGACCTAATGAAGCCCAGCAGCACCACTTCTTCCAGGCCTTAAGAGGGGAGGAGGTGCCAAGTGGTTTTCAGAAAAGAAGGGATGCCTGTCCCAGGTTTTAGTTGTAAGAAGTTGGGTGCTGAGGTAGCTTCTGCACGCTGACCATCTACTTACAACAGCCTGCAGCTGTGAATAGAGACTATCACATTAGAGCTCCTATCCGAGGTTCAGCCCTACCAGGGAAGGAGGCTGGCTAGTCAGGATGACTCTGCCCACTTAGAACAACCACCTCAAGTGCTCCGGTGCCTGCTGTGTGCCAACCCTGGGCATTAAGAGGGCATCAGGATGAGCCAGCCACAGGCCCTATCCTCAAGTAGCTTATAAAAGTACCCAGGAGACAAGATGGCAGAGATTAAACAATGATGATGACAAGGACAATAAGCACTTACTGAGCCCTTCCTGCCATGCCCTAGCCTCAGGACTTGACACACTGTATTTTTCAACACTTAAAGGCCACTCATAAAGTAGATTCTGTTACTATCCCCAAGTTTATGATCATGGGACCCCAGGCTCAGTAGGCAGGTCGGGTATCTGTGATCACAGGGAAGTAGCAGAGCCAGGCTTGATGGCCCAAACACTGAGCCACCAGGCAATGCAGCAGGCCAGGTGGCTTCACAAGGAAGGGGAAAAGAAGACCCAAACAGCTGAAGGATTGGACAGGCTGGAGTACAGGAGGAGAAAGGCCAGAGGTCTAGGAGGCTGCCTGGAGGACGATTTATAGGTAGCCCAGGGCAGGGTGGGTTACAACTGGGGACCTGGTAGATCCTGCACTGGAGAGGGGTTTAATGAACATGTGAAGGGTCTTTCCCCACACCCACCTTCTCACCTCAATCTGGACCAAGATTCAGTCAAAGCAGGTTCTTGGGGTACATGTGATACTGCAGGTTAGGCTCTAATAAGGACTACCTCAAATTAGACCTGGATTTTATATGCTTAGTTTGCACCTTGAACTTTTAAATAATTAACGTTCATTTCACCTTACCCCAGAGTGTCCCAGGGTTTCTGTCCCCCATTTTCCAGATGGAAAAAGGGAGGTGACATGACCTGTTCAAGGCACACAGCAAATTTGTAGAGGATCCCAGGCCTTCTGGCCCTGAGGCCAGTGCTCTGTCTATGGCCCATCTTTGAGCCTTCCACAGGGAAAGGGGCATACCTGTGAAGCCTTTGTCAGGGAGACTGGGTAGGTGTTTGGGGGCATCTTCCAGCAGAGGGTCCAGGTGCTCTGTGTTGGCCGGCACTGCACTGGGCTCCCAGGAACCAGAGCAGAAGAGGCTGAGTGAGGGGTCCAGGCTGGCACGAATCTCACAGACAGCTGCAACGGAGACAAAGCAAGTCAGCAGGCAGGCCAGAAATCCCTGCATTCCCAGGACCTTTGCTCATACCAGGTTAGCCATGTTGTCAGGGGAGACCAGTTGGTGTAGGGAGGAGATGGGTGAAGCACCTTCACTGTTGCTAGGAGCAACAGCTCACATGAGCTCCTAGTTAACTACCCAGTGGGCTTCTCCTGCTCTCACAGCCCTAGGAAGTAAGGTACCCAACAACAGCCCATTTTGCAGATGAGGAAACAGGTGCTGAAGATGGGAGGGATTGCTTTATCTCACATTGAGGTCTGAGCTCTTACCTCTGCACTACACCACTCTGTGAGGGACCAGTTAGAGCCCTTCAAAGTGGGAACCTTCTCTCAGGCTGCCAGGGCAGGCAGATGTCCAGAGATTCACCTACCCTGGGCATGGGGGGTAGTCCTACCCCACCAATCCCACTTCTTCTGTCCCCGCTTCCTCCACGGTGCTGGAGATTGAACCCAGAGCCTCCTACATGCTAGGCAAGTGCTCTACCACTGAGTCACACTCCTAGCCTCTCTGGTTTCCTTTTTCTGGTAGGACTGGGACTGGGGTTTTGGGGTTTTTCTTTTAGCGGTACTGGGGTTTGAACTCAGGGTTTCATGCTTGCTAGGCAGGCGCTCTACCTCCTGAGTCATTCCACCAGCCCTGGGACTGGGGTTTGAACTCAGGGCTTTGCATTTGCAAAGCAGGTGCTCAACCACTTGAGCCCCACCTCCTCTGGTTTCCTCTTGGTTCATCTAGCCCTCCCCTCTCTCCCTGCTGTATCCTTTTTTCTCCCTTTGCAGCATCTTAATAACTTCCCTACCTAATATCTTATGGCCACAGAAGTGTGAAAGAACAGGGACACTGTAGTCAAGCCCAAGATCAAATCCTAGTCCTGCCACTTGTGTGACCCTGGGTGAACTCCTCACACCCCTCTAAACTTGTCTCATCATCCATAAAACCAAGATGACAATCTCTCCATCCTAGTCTTTGTGAAGATCAGAGCTGCTCTTATAAAGCACCACATGAGCACTTTTAGCACCTGATGCAGCAGCAAATAAAACACAAGCTCTGTGAGGAGAACAAGTGCAAATTGTTGTTCTGCTTGTACAGATGAGGCCAATAAGGCCTAACTAGTCAGAGGGATGGCTGCCATTATGTCTGAGGGCCAGCCAGAATTGGCCTCTTTGCTGGTGATTTGGGGCAAGCACCTTCTTGACATCAGTGAGGAAACTAAAGCTGAGAGAATCTGTCCCTCACTCAGAATCTCCAGTTTCCCTAGCAGGGCTCAAAACTTCTGATGCCAGGGCCTGGGCTCTTAGCTATGGATTCACACAGCCACCCACAAGGCTGGAAGGGAGATGTCAACTGTGCAAGGTCTCAGGAGCCCCCCACCTGTTCCTGCTCCCTGTGAGCTCACCTGGGGCCATCTCACTGCCAAAGATAAGGGCCCGTGCCTGCGAGGTGTCCAAACAGTGGCGCAGGGCATCACGTCGGAGGTTGGTGTTGATGAGGGCTGCCTCCACGCCAAGCTTGGCCATGCCCAGCCACAGGCCCACGAACTCATTGCGGTTCTCCATGAAGAGAGCAGCCACATCACCTGAGACCAGGCCCCGGGCCTGCAGGAAGTTGGCCACGCTGCTCGAGTAGTCGTCCAGTTGGCGGTAGGTCCAGTGGGTATCTGTGCCCTCGAAAATCAGAGCTGTCTTGTCAGGGTGGCGGCGTACCGTGGAAGCAAACAGCACAGGCACTGTCTTTCGCTCCTTCAGGTACCGTCGGACCTTTGCCTTCACCTTCAGGAGCACAAAGCCACCGCTGCATGGGATCAAGCAAGGGAGCCATGACGACTAGGGCTGGCTCATGAACTAGCTCTCTTAGGATGATACTATATCCTATTTGACTGCTGCTCCTGGGTGCTTGGCACTGTCACCAGCACCCTCTCATGGAGGCCTCCTGATGAAGCTAAAAGATTGTCTGATTACTCTCCCCTGACTGAGGAGGAAACCAAGGCTCTTGTGGTGCCATGGCTTGCCCAAGGGCTTACAGGTGGAATGTGGCTCAACTGAGATTTGAACCTCAGGCCTTTCTGGCTCCAGAGTTCAACTCCTATTTCCGCTTAAGCCTGCTGCAATGCCAGAAGACTTCCAGGGTCCAGGGCCCCAGCCCATAGTTCAGATTCCTCATTCAGAGACTTCCACAGCCCATCAGCACTCCCTGGTGCCTACTGCCCCAGGGTATCAGGAATCAGTCTTTCTCCCATGAGTCCAGGTATAGCAGGCCTCTGTCTCACTCACCACCTTACTCCCCAGGTCTGTTCCATGCCAGACACCAGGGACATGTTTGCTGTTGTGGAACCATCTGGCAATTCCCCCTTCCTGTCCCAACCCTGCCACTTTCTAACCCTTTGAATTCTGCAAGCCCTTCAGCCTCTGTGCCTTTGCCAGTACTGTAACCTCTGCTATACTCTCCTCCTTCCACCACATTCATACCCCTTCCTTCCAGGAGAATTCTCAGATTCCTAGCCTGAGCCCCTGGCCTGAGGTCATCTCTCCCTGCTCCCATATGCAACCATCCTTCCTCTGGGGCCTCTTGATATCTCCTTTTATAATCAGCCCAGATTGACAAATGCTGAACCAGCTGTTCTGGGTGTGGCTCACTGTGTTGGAAACTGGAACACAGGAATGAGCAAGCCTGCTGAGGCCTCTGCCCGCATGGCACTGCCAGTTTAAGGAGTTACCTTGACCGCCCCCCTTTTGCCAGGGGTGGGGGGCAATACTGGGGTTTGAACTCAGGGCCTCATGCTTGCTAGGCAGGTGCTCTACCACTTGAGCCACTCCACCAGCCCTTTTTTTATGTTGAATATTTTTGAGATAGCATCTTGCCAACTATTTTCCCAGGCTGACTTTGAACCTCGATCCTCCTGAGTAGCTAGGATAACAGGTGTAAGCCACTGGAGCCTGGCTACCTTTGTCCCCTTTTTATTACTCAGCTAGTCTGAGTTTGGCAGACTGGGTCTGCATTGCTCCTCTCTGGGTATCAGAACCAATTTGGTGTAGAACAGCTAGGCACAGATTCTCCTAGACATCTAACTCATGGGTCTAATCTAGAAGTCAGTTCCCCTTCTACCCTCTCAGGCTGCTGCCAACCTGAGGACAGGTCTTCTCACTGGGCTACTCTTCACCTTGTCATAAGCTACAGTGTCCTCAGGATTCCTTGTGGAAGTCCCCCCAACACACCTGGTATTTGGTGTGTATCCCAGGCCAAAGAGCCTCAAGTTAGGGAGATCCCTAAGAGAAGACTTTATGGAGATGAAGGTACTAGGTACTGCTGCCAGGAGAAAAGTATGGGGAAGAAGCTACTCCTTTGGGACCCAGGTGTCCCATGTTGGTGAAGACAATGGGGTCTGATCTGGGGATCAGAAGCCCAGTATAGTTGAGAGACCCAAGGAAGGACTGGGTCAGGTACTCACAAGATATCACGCCTGATGGTCTTGACAAAGATTCGGATGAAACGCCAGCCGCCAGACCCCAAGTAGAGGAGCAGCAGGGAGAACCCTACCTGGGTCCAGGGCAGCTTCAGCACCAGCTTGGAGAACAGCAGCGCTCCCACCAGAGATGCCCCGAGCAGCATTGTGGCCTATGGGCACAAGATAGTCAGGGGACTCAAACGTCTGTGTCCGTGCACATCTCTACCCCCCAGCTCTGGCAGCCACTCTAATGTGATCCCAAAGGGTCAACTTGTTGTTAGACTTAGCCACCTGAGTGGGATGGCTAAGAACAGGGTTCCCTTTCCAGGCATACGTCCCACTGTCAGCTAGAAGTGGCTTAAGTAAAGGGTTCCAAGAGTGAGAAGTAGGAGGCAAATCTAGTCTTTAGGCCTCTCTCTCTTGACTACCACTCTCCAAGTGACTTTGGGCAAGTCCCTTTCCCACTCCAGGCCTCACTCTTTGCAATGGATTAATGAGACTTGTTCCCAAGAGCCTTTCCAGACCAAAAGGGCAGTCCACTTCCCAACATCCAAGGTCTCTATCGAAGTCCAAGATGGTTTGGGGTGGGTACTGACTTAAGTGCCTCTGGTTTGACTCCCCATCCAGAGACCCAGGGAGGTTGTGGGGATGGCTACGCCAGTCCACAACATTCAGTGGGGCAGGTTCCTGGGAAAGGAGCCCTGCTCAGTCCCTAATCAAGGGTTCAGACAGCTTTGTGCCTCTAGAGGGCGACCCAACAAAAGGGAGGTGCCTGAAAGGTGACAGCCTAGAGGAGGAGGGTGAAGATGACTGAGGGAGAAGAGGGTCTTTTTCCTTTTTTTTTTTTTTGAGATGGGGTTGCACTGTGTATCCCAGGCTATCCTTGAACTCATGATCCTCCTGCTTTTCTGCCTGCGGAGTGCTGGAGGAAGAGGGTTTTGAAAGCAACCCCCTCACACACACACATTCAGCAAACTACTCAAATGAATCTTGGGGTCTAGGGCTTTTGGAGCCGGCACTGTGCCCAAGGGCTGGGCTGAATTAGGACTCAGGCTCTCTATTCCTGTCTGCAGCTAATGGAACTCGGTTTTTCTTAGGATTTTCCTATTTGGGGGAGAAACGGAAGGTCAGGGCTGTAAAGTATCCTGAGCGCCTACAAGCTAGGATGAGAAAACGGCTTGGACCACAGGGAGCCCTTAGAGATCTCCTCCTCCTGGAGAAAAGCACAAACCCGGAGGAACGGGGGTCGCTAAACCAGAGCCCCCAAACCCAATGCCAGTATCTCCAAGGTCCTCAGACCTCTGGCCTCCCAGAATCCGCTAAAACGTAGGGTAGGAACCCATCCAAGAAGACTGGGAGAGAGCGTGAGGAGAGGAAGGAGTGCTCAGTTCCTTCAGGGCCCGGTCGGGATACTGCAGACCGACCTTGCCCGTAAGTAACCAGGATAGAAGAGCGCACGGCAAGGTGACAGGGTGGCAGGGCGCGCCCCTCACCCCAAGCTGGCACCGCTGTCTCTCCCTACTTGGCCTGGCACGTTTCCCCGCCCGGGATCCCACCGGTCTCGCCTTTCCTTACCGGGTGTCGGCCCCGCAGCGCGGCGCCCGGTCCAGATGCGGCCCGGTTGTGGCAGCGGAGTGGGGAGCGCGGGGGGCATCAGTCGCCCCTGGGCGCACAGAGCCGAGACTCAGCAGTGCTTTGCCGACTCTGCGCCCTGCAGAGCCCACCCCCTCCCGCACCCAAAAGGGCTGCGCTGGCCTGTGGCACAGCCTCCCGCGCCGTCACGGCGGCAGGCGAGCCTCTGAGCTTGTGAGCCCGCCGCGACAGCGCAGCCCAGCCCCAGCACGCCAGACGCCGCCGGGCCCAGCCAGCCCTGCGCCCGCCACGCCTCGGGCCGCACCACCTTGCAATACGCTGGGAGTTGTAGTCCGCAGTGCGCCGAACAGCACGCTGGGAATTGTGGTCCGCGCCGCGCAGACCCGCCTCTCCTCGTACAGGCTGTCCCCTTGCCCTTTCTTCCCAGGCTTCCAGACCTGAGGAAAGCGCCCGCTTCCTCAACGTCATCCGAGAATTTGAAGCTAGTGCCCAGGCCCCAGCAGAATTTAAAAAGACCTAGCGACACACACAGAGCAATGACCACTGGGCGGTTTCAGACAGAGGTGAACTTTAGACAGGCCTTAGTAATCGGCTCTGTGGCGCAATGGATAGCGCATTGGACTTCTAGCTGAGCCTTGGAGTGGTCATTCAAAGGTTGTGGGTTGGAGTCCCACCAGAGTCGAATTTTGGTGGCTCTTTCCTCCCTTCTACTCCAAGTTAGAGCCTTTGTAAGGTTCAAGAAGAGCAGCAGGGATGGATTTGGAAGGCCCTTAGTTAGCGTTAGCCTCTGATTGCACTGGACCCAGAAGAAAATCAGTTCTCCTATAAACCTAGGATCTTATTTGTCATGCTTTCTGCCTAGCCCTAAGTGATAGTCCAGATTCCCAACCTGTGGGGCTCAGGTCCTCTAAAAACCAAGTTAGTGAATGTACAAACATGTTGGTCATCCACAGCTGCCACTGCTCCTTAAACAGATCCCTTAATCTCTTAGTCCAATGAAAGTCTTTAAGAGAGGGGAGAGAGGGGTGGTTTTCAGGGCCTACTTAAAGGGATTGAAGATGAGATTTTGGTCTGCTAAGGATTTAGACCTATTTCTTCTGGACTATAGGGTGTATCCTTTTGGAGGACCTAGGTAAATTCAAACATCACCTCCTCCAGGGCTATTACATTCAGGATGCAGTGTAATCCAGTGGCTATGGACATTACTCCAACGGACTGGCTTCAAATTCTCAGTACAAAGTTCAAAATTTGGGGCTGGGTACATAAAGTATCACCATATCTCAAAATTAACAAATTCAGAAAGGGCTGGTGGAGTGGCTTAAATGGTAGAGTGCCTGACTAGCAAGTAGAAGACCCTGAGTTCAAACCCCAGTAATGAAATTTTTAAAAAGGTACAAAATTCCAGTTTCTCCTTATATATTAAACTAAACATAGAGGAAGCTGGGTATGGTGGTATATATCTATAATCCCAGCATTCAGGAAACTGAGGCAGGAAGATGGAGAGTTCAAAAGCAGCCTGGCTACATAGTAAGATCCTGTGTTAAAAGGAGGGTGGGGGCTGTGCTGGCAGAGCACCTGCCTAGCCAGCATGAGGCCCTGAGTTCAAACCTGAGTACCACCAAACAACAAGGGGGGAAGGGTGGTTTGGTGGCGGGGGAAGGGTGGTTTGAGTGTGTGCCTAGCACAACGGGAATTTTTGGGTTCCATTCCCAGTATCAAGAAAAATTAAAAATAAGGAAATAATAAAAATGGGAGCATGCTAATAATGATTACCCCAAAGGTTTGGTGTGGAGATTCATAAGGAGCATTTGAAGTAGTGTTTTTGTGTGTGTGTGTGTGTGTTTTTTCTGGGGGATAGTTACTGGGGTTTGAACTCAAGGCCTCATATTTGCTAGGCAGGCACTCTATCACTTGAGCCACTCCGCCAATCCTGTTTTTGTGTTGGGTATTTTTGAGATAGGGTCTCTCAAGAGGTTTGTCCAGGCTAGCTTTGAAACTTGATCCTCCTCATCTCTGCCTCCCAAGTAGCTAGGATTACAGGCATGAGCCACTTGTCACCTGGCTTGAAGTAGTGTTTGATGTATTTATTGTAGCTTATAGGTTCATTGACTACAAAGAACACACAAATCAAAATTCAGATGCAAATTATATCTGTTTATATTTACAAGGCTTAGGAAGTACCAAGATGCTCAGAAAATGTTTTCTGAATGACTTAAAGGGAGAATGAATAAGAGACTATGACTTATCCACACCAGGATCCATGGGTAAAAATGTGATTATTTCTAAATCAAATGTTGAGGTCATTTGCAAAGGGGACAAGTGAGAGTTTGGAGGAGGGCAAGTGATGATCAGTCACTTGCTGTCTTCCAATCACTTGTGACACATTTAAAACTAAGGTGATAACCCACTAGACATGGCCAGGCCTTAGTTGGGGAAGCAGAAGACATGGAGTTGCTTAGTCTGGTTGGACACAACCAGTCTCAAATAGGTGATCCCTCGTTCCAGTGCTTGCTGTACTTGTGGCGTAACACTCCACATTACTGTGATTATCTGCTTTGCATTCCAGTGATACATAGCTGGGGTACACTCCCAACCTCAGCAGTGAGACTTTGGGCAAACCACTCTCCCCACAGTGCCCCTGTTGAATGGCAATACTGTCCTTACAGCCCTGACTCCTGTGGCATGACACATATATGCACATCAGTCTCTTAGCTTGAGGCCGGCACATGGAAGGCCCTTAGGTGGCCTCACTACCTAGCTCCAAGGCCAGGAGCACTGCTGGCCCCATTACTGCAGAACTCCAGCATCCGCATTCAGCACATGGCCTGAAGATGTCTATGAAGTGACTGGAGACTGGAGGGCTTACACATCAGGACACACTGTGTGTGGGGGGATGACAACTGCGGTGAGAAGAGTAACTGGCTAGGCCTGTGTGTACCAGCCCAGGACCTAATCCCAGGGGCAATAAAGAGCCCAAGAACTCAAGATCTGTGCAATCAGGACAAGTTAGGTTCCCTTAGCCCCCAGCCCACGTGTGATCCCAGTAAGTCTCCAGGGTCTTCACCTTGAGATAAGACTACCATCAGCCACTACTTGTAGGTTTATTGTGAGGACTGAATGAGGTAGCACCCAAACATCAATTTGTTTAACAATGAGGTACCAAGCCCCTTCTCTGTGCTGCCTCAGATGGAGTGGTCAGGAAAAGCCTCTCTGAGGTGACATTTGAGCAGACATGTGAATGACAAGGCACTCACCATGTAATAACCTGGGGACAAAGTGCTATTCCCAAGGGCAGGAAGTAGCTGGGCTTGATCGTGTGCACCCATAGTTTCAGCTACTCCCAAGGCTGAGTCAGGAAAATCTAGACTTTGAGGCCAGCCTGGGCTACACAGGGAGACTGTCTCAAAAATCCAAAAACCAAAACATACAAACACACAAAAGGACCCTTGGTCCTTTCTCTGCAGCTCTTTTGTACTTTACTTCAGGAAACCCCCAAACCCTAGGAGGCAGGCCTTGTCACTATTACTGACATGATAAAAGCGGGGCTCAAATGCAGAGGGAGGGGAATTGCCCTGGGTCCTCAGTTAGTTAGGGATTTCAATCTGAAAATGCCTTACTTCAGACCTGAGGAGAGGGACAAGCAGCTGAAGTTCAGGTTGGGAGGGAGCTTCACCCTCAGCGCTGGGAAGGCCCAAGGCAACGCTGGGGCAAGGAGGACAAGCAGACACTAGTCTGATGGGAGCCTTTATTCAAATAGCCGACTCTCCTCCCTCCTGGCCCCCTCTTGCCAGCTTTTGGCACTTGATGTAGCTCTCACTCCTGTGAAGACACCTCACCTGACCCAGAGAAAACCCTGGCTGGCAGGGAGGAGTCCTAAATAGGGGCTTTGGATGTAAGCATTCTAGCATAATCCTAAGACAGCTGATTCTTGTGCACAGATACCTCTCCTAGCTCCCCTGGGAGCCCCACTGACCTGCCTGCTCCCTCCTATGCAGACCCTTAAAACCACACAACAGTGGTTATGACAATTATGATAAATGACATCCAGAAGTCAATGTTCAGAGAAGGAACAGAGGCAGTGGCAATAGCCCCTGTGCCCTGAGGAAGGCAGGTCAAGCCCTCCTAGTACAAGTGGCTCAGGCTAGGCTAGGCCAGGCCAGGCCCTGCATCTGCAGAGGTGGCGCCGTGATGCCCAGCTCCTCCCGCAGGGCCTTCAGGGGCTGCTCCCAGCGCCGCTCATAGTACAGGTTGAGGACACATGGGGCCCTGCGTCCATTCTGAACTGCCCATGGGATCAGCTCCGAGACCAGCACTTGCAGGCTCCTGTGGGGTAGTGGAAGGAAAAGAAGACATAAAGTCACAGGGCTCAGCATTTAGTGTGCATCTGTGCAGTTAATCCTCCTTCAGACCTAAGCAGGAAGGAGGCGCGGTGAAATCTTGTGCCCTAAACCACACATCTTGAACACACCAAAGCTTGGATTTAAATATAGGGCTATTGAAATGGAGGTGTGGTTCACATGGTAGAGTGCTTGCCTTGTAAGTGCAAAGCCCTGAATCCAAACTTCAGTACTGCCATAAACAAACAAAGAGGCGTATTCAATTTCAAAAACCAGTGCTACCTGCCTTCCACAGGCTCATGTCATTCTGACCCTGGGGTCTAGGTTTTGTTCACTGTCCCAGGCCAGTTCCCTTTTCTACGTCATTCTTCCACCTTTGTTTCCTGGACAGCCTTTCTGGGTATTTGTGTGTGTTGGGGGGGGGGGTTGCTCAGGGCCTGCACACCCTTCCCTGTTTCTTGGAGCCCTGGCCATTCTGAGTTCTTACCCCCCACACACACACTTTAAAACTTACTGAGCACTGAGACGGATTGGTCCAAAGAGTGCACCCAGGATGCACATGGGCAGGCCAGTCTGCACAGCCTCAAACCACTTCACCACGATCTCTCCTGGGGGTCAGGGATGAGAAGTGAGCAGGTGCCTAGAAGGGGGCCTTGCCCTTCCTCCATATCCACCGGGCCATCTGATAGGTGAGTGGTGGAGACAGATAAGCCCAGGTCCCATCCCACAAACAGCTGGCTGCAGTGTCCTGCCATCAGCTACTCTCAGGCAGAAGACTTGGTATACTTACCCAAGATGTTGGTGGGCATCCCCAGCAGGGTGTGGAGCATGTCGTGCACCTCCCGGTACCTCTGGATCACATATGCTAGCTCCTCATCGTCCACGAAGCGGGTGGGTGCTCGGGTGTCTGGAGAGACCCTCTGACAAACATGATCCTCCCCTAGACCCATTCCTGACAGTTCCCAGGGCCTGACTGGCCAGCCCCTCCTTGACTCTCAACCACTTCCACCAAACTCCTACCCCATCTGAAAACCCTGCTGACTATTTCTGCCCAAATCTGCCCACAAGGGAGGCCTCAGGCAGGGAATGAGATGATTAGCAGCACCCGGGGGGCTACAAATGTGTAGCTTGTTAAGACTCTAAAGCCCCTAGTGGGAAGGGAAATAGGGAGTTATTTTTTGAGACAGGGTCTCACTATGTAGCTTAGGCTGGCCTAGAACTCAGAATCCTTCTGCCTCTGCCTCTCAAATTCTGGGATTACAGTTGTGAACCACCATGCTCAACTTGGGGAGTTGTTTAGTGGTTACAGAGCTTCTGTTTTGCAAGAGGAAAAAGTTCTGAAAATCAGAAGGGAAGTAAAGAAGGGAATATACTTAATATTACTTCACGCATACCTTTTTTTTTTTTTTGCTAAACTGGGGTTTGAACTCAGGTCTTCATGTTTGCTAGGCGGGCACTCCACCACTTGAGCCACACCTCCAGTGCATTTTGCACTTATACTTAATATTACTAAACTACATATTTAAAATGTTAAGATGGTAAATATTATGTCATATGCCTTTTTATTAAAACCACAATAAAAAATAAAAAACAGGGACCAGGCAAGGTGGCTTACACCTTTAATCCCAGGTACTTTGAAGGTGGAGATTGGGAGGAGAATGGAGGTTCAAGGCAAGGGGGTGAAGGGTGGGGATGGAAGGTGAGTTATCAAGATACAACTACAACCAATAGCTGGGCATAGTATCCCATGCCTGTAAATGATTACAAGAGAGGATGAAGGAGGCATAAATAAAAGGATTAAAGCCAGACGCAGGTGGCTCACACCTGTGATCCTAGCTACTCAGGAGGCAGAGCTGGCCATTTTCCTCACTGTTGTAACTCTGGTGCCTTGTCCAGGGCTGGATGAATAAGTATCTCTTGAATGCTTGAGGAAAGGGCCAGCTCTGAACACTTCCCTGACCCCAGGTAGGGATAGACTATGCTCCCTTACCTGACCGTGTCTTTCTGAGTTCGTAGCAGAACCCACATACAGTGGGAGCAGGCTGGTCTGAGGCATGGCCTTAGACTATCTGAGAAACCAAGGAATTTGAGGTCTTCATTGCTTTGGGGCTTGCTGGCTCAGTGTCATGTTTGGTCTGATTCCTTGTTGGGCCCCAGAACCTAATTTCCTCTGTAGTTTACTTGCTGTGTAAAGTGGGATTGATTATAGTAATAGCAACTACTTTGATTAAGTACCTACTAGGTGCCAGTCCTGTACAATGTCCTTTACGTGTACTGTCAATTTCATAATAATCTAGGAAGTAGATACTATTATTAGGCTCAGACATAGGTAAGATAAACAAGGTGCTGGGCTGGCAGAGTGGCTCAAGTGGAAGAACGCCTGCCTAGCAAGTGTGAGGCCTTGAGCTAAAACCCCAGTACTGCCAAAAAAAAAAAAAAAAGAAAAAGTAAAATAAGGCTTAGAAAGATAAAATAACTTGCCCAAGATCACATAGCTAATAAAGTCACTGAGTCAGAATTTGAAACAAAGACTGTTGGATTCTACAGTCAGTAACTTTGACATCCTTGTAAGTCAGCCATGTAACCTTTGATGGCAAAGGTTAGGGGTTAGGTCTCCTAACTTCAAATGGGGGTTGCCTAGGGCTATAAAGCTGGGAAGAGACAGGGTTTTAACTCAGGCTCTGCTTAACTCCATCTTGATACTATGAGATCATCACACTCTTACCAATGTCAAGACTCAGGTAAGATGGCCTCGCCTTGAACCTTTAGCTAAATCTCATTTGGGATAAAGGTGTCCCTTCCCATTCTGTGGGCTGCTGGTTTCCTTGCTGAAGTGTCACAATGACATCATGTTACCATACTAGTGCAGTTGCTGGGTAAGGTGCCCTGGGTGGCTCTGGTAAGACTCCTGCCTCCTCTCCATTCCACAGCAACAAGACTAAGGCTGCCCCTCCCTGGGCGGTACTTGGGGCAGGTCACCCTGGCAGGTTTTGCGTGGTGAAACAGCTTGCATTCTAGTGAAAGATGCCGCAGATGGTAGAAAATAGGGTGGGTGATTGCTCTGCCAAGCTATTGTATTAGGAGAGGGTGAGGGTCAGATCACTATCTTGGGAACAATGCCCCTCTAGAGCAGTGGTTCTCAGTTGCTCAGCAGGGGACACCTGCAATATCTAGAAACATTTCTGGTTGTTACCACTTGGGGGATTCTACTGGCATCTTGCAGGTCAAGGCCAGGGATGCTGCTAGACATCCTGTAAGACGCAGGACAGTCCCACAACAAAGTCATCTAGCCCAAAGCACTGGTAGCACAAAGGTGAGGAACCCTGTTTTAGGGTAACCTTTGGTCCCCCTTCTCCAGCCTGGTCCTGAGCCAGGTTGTAGAGCTACTGGAGAGGCACCCAGAGCATGTGCAAGTGATGTGAGGGTGAGGTAAGATGGCCCAGATGTATCCTAAGATCTTTTATAAAATCAGGTCATCTTACTATCCTGCTCAAAGTTGACAGCTCCTATTACAAAATACTGATTCCTTCCCAAAGCCTTCAGGGCCTGGGAGGCCCAGCTGACCTTCCAGCCTACTCTTTGCCTTTCCCCACTCGCTCCTCTGGTACTGTGTGTGTGTGTGTGTGTGTGTGTGTGTGTACGGGGTATGTGTGTGTGTGTGTGTGTGTGTGTACGGGGTATGGAATCCAGGGCATCGTGTGTGTGGGGGAGCAGGAGTTATGGGGTATGGAATCCAGGGCCTTGTGTGTGGGGGGGGTATGGAACTCAGGGCCTCGTGTGTGTGTATGTGTGTCACTGGGATGGAACCCAGGGTCTCATGCATGCTACATATTCATCCCACGCTGAACTTACTAATTTTCTTTGAAATACACAGAGTCTTTGTACCTGCTGTTCTGTCTGCTCAGAGTGTTCTTTCCAGTTTCCAGAGACCAACTCCTAATTTTCCAAGTCCCTTCCCCTGGCCACCTATCAGAAGTGGCCACATTCTCCCTTAGTCCAAAGTTGTCCTGTATCACATTTACTTGTTTTCTTCGGAGCACCTATCTGCTAGCATGTGAGCTCCACAAAAGGAGGTTTTTTGCTGCTTTTGTTCACTGCACCCCAACTGATGACAGCAGTACCTCATACATACTAAGTATTCAATGAATATTTTCTTTTCATTTTTTTTCTTTTATTCATATGTGCATACAATGTTTGGGTCATTTCTCCCCCCTTCCCCCCACTCAATAAATATTTTCACCTGAATTTTTTTTTTTTAGAGGTATTGGGGTTTGAACTCATAACCTCATGCTTGCTAGGCAGGTGCTCCACTATTTGAGCCAGTGTGCCAGTCCTTTTTTGTGTTGGGTTTCTTCAAGATAGGGTCTTACCAACTATTTGCCCAGGCTAGCTTTAAACCTCGAGCCTCCTGAACTCTGCCTTCTGAGTAGCTAGAATTACAGGCGTGAGCTACCAGTGCCCAGCTTTATCTGAATTTTTACCTTATTATTATTATTATTTGTGGTACTGGGGTTTGAACTCAGGGCCTCACACTTGCTAGGCAAGTGCTCTATCACCTGAGCCACTCTACCAGCCCTTACATGATTTTTTAAAGCCATTTTATTATCTACCTCTCCAACTAGACTACAAGACCCACAAGGACAGGGACAGCAGATGCTTCGGAATGCATGAGTGAGTTCTTCAGTATTTGGGGACTTCCTACTTCCACCTACCATCCTCCCTATCTGGGGCTGAAGCATGCCACACTTGTCACACTCTAGGGAAAGTAATGTCCCTGGACCAGGGGGATACAGTACAGCAGTTCAGAGCATGACCTGGGGTTAAACACTGCCTCCAGTAAAACTGGCTATGTGAAATTAGCAAGTTGCTTAACTACTGAGCCTATTTCCCCATCTACCGAAAGAGGTAATCACAGAACATACTTTGAAGGGTTGTTGGGAGGACCCACCAAGTTTGTGAATGACCCTGGCATTTGACACACAGTGTGAGGTTAATAAACACTAGCCAGTACTGTCATTTGGAATGATGTTCCCAGCACATTTGCCCATCCAATAAAAATGACAAATAGGCATGAGACTGAAAAGCACTCTTGCCCATGGTGGCAGATCAGGGATCCTCATGCCTCAGATCACTTCCATGCCATTCCTCTGCCCTTGGTGACTACCAGATTCCCAGAAGCTGGAAACTTACATTCACATCCAGGAACCGGAGATACTCGCAGCCAAGGGAGCCTTCAGGCAGGCTCTGGAGCTTGCCCAGATCAAGGGTGGACAGTGAGATCCGGGGACGTTCCCTGAAAGGTGGAAGGCAGGACGTGGATATAGAAGGGTATCAGCAAAGGCAGTGAAAGGTCCAGCTGGAGAAAGTGAGGGATGGGGGTGGGGACACAAGGCAGCAATTCGGCCATGGCCCTGATGGAGCACCTGCTACTGTGCCAACGACTGAGGAAACTCCCACAAAACAAGGACGTGGTTGCTGCTTGCATGATGTGGGCAGGAAAGGAGCCCTTGAATATGACCATGGTATTCACAAAAGGTACTGTAGGAGAGGGGTACAGCCAGCATGTTATGGGAGTTTAACAAAGGCACAGACCCCCATGGCTGGCACTAAGTTGAGTCACCACATTGCATAATCCAGAGATTATCTTGCATACACATGTATGTGCTTCTGGAGTTGAACAGTGCCCAGCCTGTGCAACCATCCATGGTCAGCCTATTAAGAAAAACTCTCTAGAGAAAGAGGACTGACACAATGTGACTCTATAAAGGTCAGGATCCCTAGAGAATGCCCCCAAGCCGCTAGGCAGAACTGGGACCTACTGTAGGATCTGAGCTCCCTCTGGATCCCTCCTCATCTGGTCCCTGAGGACCTTCAGGGTGCGGCATCCTGTGGTCTCGCCCAGAACGGCTACCATGTCTGAAACAACAGAAATGGGCACAGATGGGAGATGTGATCTAAGCAACCTGACCTGGTCTGAGCCTTAGTTTTCTACATAATAAAACAGGGATGATACCTACATCTTAGTGATAAGTATCATGTTAAATGCTTAGCAAATCACCTCGCACAGCGGCAAAGCCTCGATATATTTATAGCTATTAATCTTTGTGTGTGTCTGTGACTGGGTTTTGAAGTCAGGGCTTGCAAAGCAGGCACTCTACCGCTTGAGCCACACCTCCAGTCCATTTGCTCTGGTTATTCTGGAGATGGGAGGTCTCGCGAACTACTGGCCTCGAACCGCAATCCTCCCGATTTCAGCCTCCCAAGTAGCTAGGATGCCACTGGCACCCGGCTGGAAGCTCAACTTTGACAGAGGTTGTGACATATTCAGGCTTCCAAGGCAAGGACTCCTCGATCTCTTGAAGCCTCCGCCTGAGCACGGAGCACTTCCTTACCGTGGCGGTATGGGTTGTAGAGCGCCATTCCCGCGGAGCCTGCGGCCAGCAGCGCCTTCTGCAGCGGAGTGGTGGGTATGTGGTCCGGGTATAGCAGGCCGGCGCCATGGCTCCCGGCCCGGAAGGGCACATCTGCAGGGAAGGAAAAAAGCTGAGGTTAGAGGAATCCGGCTCACACAGGCTCTTCCCGCCTCCGCCTGGGTCCCGTCTCCACTTACCTGTAGCAGGCCGGGGACCGCCGAGGAGCAGGCGGAGGGGGCGCAGGGCCTGGCGTAGCAGCGTCGCCATGGCAGCGGACTTCCGCTAGCGGATGGGCGGGGCAAAGCGGACTTGCGACATTCCTCTGGCGACGCAGCGCCCAAGCACTCAAGAGACCTTCCGACGACGCTGTCTGTGGCTTTTTGAGGGGAAACGCAGTATGGACAAGAAGGAGAACTATGCCTAAGTATGAGAAGGAACATACTCAACCTGTCTACTGCCTCTACCGACTTAAGAGTCTCCCCATTTCCCTCAGCGCTGAAAGGGTCTCCAAACGCGTCGTAACTATTCTAGCTTGGCGGCTCGACTCTAGGCCCTATTTTCTCCTCCACGTCACGTTTTCCCCGAGGACAATAAGATGAGAACCTCTTCCGGCCGCGGAACATGGCGGCGCCTACCGTAAGGACCACATTTGGGGTAGGACCGCACGGCACTTCCGCTCAGAGCCCAGCTTTTCGGCGGGCGGGGACCGTGGACCTAAGGTATGGGGTCCGCTGGCCTGGCGCGCCTCCACGGGCTCTTCGCGGTCTATAAGCCCCCGGGATTAAAATGGCTGCACCTGCGGGATACTGTGGAGCTGCAGCTTCTGAAGGGTGAGTGTTTCGAACCAGACCCACGATCCTGCTCCGGTTCTTCTGAGAGTCCATCTCTGCTTCTGATCCTTCCTATTCGCATGTGCGGAGCGCTTTCCTAACCATCTGTTCAATACACTTCATTACTCCTCACTTTCCGTTATTTTCAGCTAGGGAAACTGAGTTAGTATCGCCCATTGTCACACGGTATTTGAACCCAAGACTTAACTACTGCTATTCTGTGCTCTACATGGTTCGCTTCTGTCTTCTACATCTTCACTCTTCCCGGTCCCTTTTTCCCCAGGTGTTCAGACAGAATTGACAATATATTCTTACCTGTTTGCATTCAGGTCTGAACGCTGGGAAGCCTCCCGCTCCTGAACATCGCGTTCGCTTCTTGCTGGCCCCTATGGAAGGCAGCGAAGAGAAGGAACTGACTCTCACAGCCGCTAGTGTGCCCACTCTCACCAACCACAGGCTGGGTAAAGCAGATTCAAGCAGGATCCTGGGTGTCACTTCCCAGGAAATCCTTGGCCAGATCAGTACTGAGATTCCTGTCCCAGACTCTTGAAGGGCCATGGTGGGGATGATGTGAAGTTTGACCAGGGATTGTCAATCTTTCTTGGAAAGGCACTGACTCTAAATATTTTAGACCTTGCATGCAGGCCACGTGGTTTCTGTTAACAATTGCTCAGTTGTGCCATTGTAGTGCAAAACAGCTGTAGACAGTGTGGAAAGGAATGAACCTGTGTTCTAATAAAACTTTTATGATTGTAGTGTAAAACACTACAGACAGCAGGGTGTGTGCCTGTGGTCCCAGTTAACTAGGGGAACTGAGGCAGAAGGATCTCTTGATCCTGGGAGTTCTGAGCCATCCTGAGCAACACAGAGATCCTGTCTTTTAAAACCAAACAAAACATAGTTTTGTAGTTTGCTGACTCCTCCTATTCTAGGGCTTCAGATAGGAATTGAGACCTTAGGTAAAATTCTTTTTTTTTTTTTCCTTTTTTTTTTTTTTTTGATGGGACTGTGGCTTTGCACTTGCAAAGCTAGAACAAAATGAACTGGAGGTGTGGCTCAAGGGGTAGAGCACCTGTTTTGTAAGCATGAAGCCCTGAGTTAAAACCCCAGTCCCACCAAAAAAAAACAAAAGAGCAAGAGAGAGAGGCATATCTTGGGGTGACATAATCTGTTTTCTTTTTTGTTTAATTGTCGTGCTGGGTGGTGGGAGTATTCTCTTTTCTCTTAGCACTTACATAAAAAGCTGAGAGACTGACTAGGACATCCATCAGCAGGAGCTAAGCAGGGAACCCCACAAACTTGATCTGTAGTGTTATGACCAGTCCTCTTGAAGCTCTCACAGGAGAGTGATGATAGGCAGAGTAAGAGGCCTCTTGGATTGCCTTTTCCTGGGTCCCAGGAACTGAAGAAACCACTCTGGGCCCCATATTCCAGCCTGAGAGACTAGCCTGATCCTAATTTGGGCTCCATGTAGCTCCATTCCTAAGAGTGAGGTCATCACACAACCCATCCTTGAGGCTTGATTAGGTGAGGAAATGGACCTTGTTGTTTCTTTCTAGTACACGGACCAGCATTCACCAGCCTGAAGATTGGTGTGGGACACCGGCTGGATGCCCAAGCTTCTGGGGTGCTTGGTAGGTGATATGGACAGCCTGGGGGTGCAGTGCTAACAGCTTGGGGAAGGATCAGGGGGCTACCAAGAGCCCAGCCTACTTCTCACCTGACAACCACTTTTTTTTTTTTTTTTTGGCAGTACTGTAGCTTGAACTCAGGGCCCTACACCTTTAGCCGCTCCACCAGCCCTTTTTTTGTGAAGGGTTTTTTGGTTTTTTTTTTAACATAGAGTCTCTTGAACTATTTGTCCGGGCTGGTTTTGAACCACAATCCTCCTTATCTCTGCCTCCTGAGTACTAGGATTATAGGCATGAGCCATCAGTGCCTGGCTGTTTTTTTTTGTTTGTTTGTTTGTTTGGGTTTTTTTTGGCAGTTACTGGGGTTTGAACTCAGGGCTTTGTGCTTGCTAGGCAGGCACTCTTCCACCCGTGTTTTGTTTTGGGTATTTTTGAGATAGGGTCTCTCAAACTATTTGCCCAGGCTGGCTTTGGACTGAGATCCTCCTGATGTCAGCCTTCCAAGTAGCTAGAATTATAGGCATGAGCTGCTAGTGCCCTGCAAGTCTCAGTATCTTTTACCAGGGCTAGAACTTGAAGTCTTTCTGCTCTGCCTTCTAAATAGCTGAGATTATAGGCATGCACCACCATGCCTGGCTTTCAACACAGCAACCTTCTCAGGTACATACTGTGTGATTTTTCTGGATGAAGAAAGTCAGGCCTCAGCTTAGGTGATTTGGCCTGCCCTGTAGGGCTAGGGAATGCCCCTGGTCCCAGGGGGACACCATCATTACATTATAGGCCAGCCATGTATGTGACTATCTCTTCTGGCTAGGGTCTGGATGTTGCCGGAGCTAGGTACACAAAGCCCTGAGTCATGAGCTAGGGTCAGGTGGTAGCCACATTTTCCATCCTCAGCAGTCTTGGTCCCCTTGTCTTGCTTTCTGGGACACAGGCAGGCAGATGTGATATACTCCCTCCATGTTCACCCTCTCCAAGAGTGAATGAAGGATTGTTCCTTTAGCCAGAGAGACAAACAGATCAGGAGAGAGGCAGGAAGTGGCCACAGTGGCCATTGCTTGTTTGTTGGGCCTTGCTTTGTGTATTGCTTCCTTCTGTTTGCACAACACTGACAGGCATTAGACAGTGTTCGTTGTTTTTGTTTTTATGGTACTTGGGTTTGAGCTCAGGGCCTTATACTTGCCAGGCAGGTGGTCTGTCACTTGAGCCACTCCATCATCCAGCCAGTGTTTTTACCCGTTTTACTAATGTAGAGCTCAAGGCCCAAAGAAGTTAAAGGTTACACATAGAGATACCCCAGAATTTTTTTTTGGTAGTGCTGGGGTTTGAACTCAGGGTGTCATGCGTGCAAGGCAGGTGCTCTACCACTTGAGCCATTCCACCAGCCCTATTTTTTGTGTGGGGTATATTCAAGATAGGGTCTCTCGAACTATTTGCACAGGCTGGGTTTGAACCTCAATCCTCCTAATCTCTGCCCCCTAAGTAGCTGGTATTATAGACATGAGCCAGCAGTGCCTGGCTGACACCCACATTTTGTTGGTGGTGGTTATTTTTGGTTTTTGGTTTTGTTTTGCTTTGTTTTTGGTGGTATTGAGTTTTTGTTTTGTTTTTTTCTCTTTTTGGCAGTTCTGTGGTTTGAACTCAGGATCTCACACTTGCTAGGCAGGCACTCTACCATTTGAGCAACTCTACCAGCCTTTCTTTTGTGTTGAGTATTTTCAAGATACTGTCTTGAGAACTGTTTGCCTGGGCTAGGTTCAAACTGTGATCCTCCTGATCTCTTTCTGCCTCCCAAGTAGTTAGGATTACACATATGAGCTACCAGTGCTCATTTATTTTTGGTTTTTTGAGAAAGGGTTTCTCTGTGTAGCCCAGGTTGGCCTAGAACGTGTGATCTTCCTGCGTGCTGAGTAGCCAGTATTACAGGCAAGTGCCACCATGCCTGTCTCTTTTGAGTGTATCAGAATCCTGTGGGCAGCTTGCTAAGGATCCCAGGCCCTTCCCCACAGGAGTCAGATACAGTATGTATGGCTGAGGCCTAGAAAGCTGCATTTTGACATATTCTCAGAGAAACACTCTCAGTCCCTGCACAAATTCTCCTTGTCCCCTTGCTGGCTTTGGCAGCATCAGATGAGGGAGTATTCTGATTGTGGGGAGTGCAGATTCCCAAGGGAATGGGAAAGGGATACAAGATGAGGTTGGTTGCCTGCCTTTCAGTGCTCGGCGTGGGACATGGATGCAGACTCCTTACCAACATGTATCACGCTCACCTCACAAAGGTACGTGGTTCTGAGGACGGTCGTTTCTCTCTTGGTCCTGTCCTGGGGGAATCACTAGCAGGATTCTGGTGCTTGGGATTCCATAGGAATGCCCAGGCCATCAGCGACGTCTTTTTTTATAGTCACGTCCTAGGGAGACTAATAATATGAGACTAACTGCCCGCATTATCATATGCTGATGACTCTGCTGAACACTGTATGTAGATTCCCTTGTGCAAACCTCACTACTTCCCCTATTGTTAATCTCATTATACAGATGAGCTTACTGAGGCTCAGAGCGGGAATGAAATCTTTAAGACTTTAACAGCTGAAATTTGGGCTGGCAGAGTGACTTAAGCAGTAGAGTCTAGTAAGCATGGGACCCTGAGTTCAAACCCTAGTACTGCCAGGAGAAAAAAAAACAAAAACAAAATAGAGCTGAAATTTGTGCCAGCAGAGTGATTCAAGCATTAGAGCATCTGCCTAGCAAGTGCGAAGCCCTGATTTCAAACCGCAATCCTACCAAAAAAAAAAAAAAGCTGGGCCTGGTGGAGTACACCTGTCATCCCAGCTACATAGGAAGCATAAACAGGAGATAAAGGTCCAGGCCCATCTGGACATAAATGAGATCCTATTTGAAAAATAAATAAAGCAAAAAGAGCTAGGGGTTTGGTTCATGTGGGACAGTGACTGCCTAGCAAGTGCAAGGCCCTGAGTTTAAACCCCAGTACTGCCTAAAACAATTAATTACTTAATTAAAATAAAATCGGACTAAGGATAGTTTCTTCCCTTTACAATTACTTTGAAGATTAAATTGATAGTTATATGTAAAGTCTTAGCACAATCCTGGGCACATAGTACATTTATTGTCACTGTTGTTGCCATCTCTGTCCTCACCACTGTTATCACTCTCACTTATGGAAGAAGCAGTCGTCAGCTGTGCAGTTAGAAGAAGGAGAATTCCTAGGAGCAGGCATCAAGGCTTGAAACCTAGCCCTATTCAGAGAGAGAAGAGAGGCTCACAGGGCATTCTCGGCATACTCTAGTCACATTAGGCTGGGGTGGCTGCAGCACTGGAAGGTGAAATAGCACTTTCAGATTGGCCCTGGCACTGTCCCTAAGTCAGGGGGAGAACTGGGTACAAAGAGAGCAAGTGAGCTGCCCAAGACCCCACAACAGAGCCCCAACTTCCCAGGACAAGGGAGCAGCTGGACAGGAGCTTCCTGAGGGGAGACTGGAGGCCTCCACCCCCAACCTCAACCTTGCACCTCCTCAGCAGCAGGCTTGTGGGGACACTGACTGGATCTTCCTGTCCCTGCCCTTGCAGGATTACACAGTGCGAGGCCTCCTGGGCAAAGCCACTGATGACTTCTGTGAGGATGGGCGGCTGGTGGAAAAGACGACATATGGTAAGAGTCCGGGACTGCCACTGCCTTCCTCTGCATTTGTTTCCCCTTGATTCTTCTCCCTACCCAGGCCACAATAGTGCCTGCTCAGTTATTTTTAGCACACCAAGCTCAGGCTGGGAGGTGCTTACTAAATTTGCATGGATAGATGATGGATGACGGGGGTGGATAGAGGGTGGATGCATAAATGGATGGATAGGTGATGAACATTAGATAGATGAGAGTGGATGAATGGATGATGGATGATGGGTAGATTGATGGATGGAGGGTAGGTATGGGTGGATGGATGACTGGTGGCTCACTTTTCATTTCTCACTGTGCCTGTGTTCTGAGTCATTCCATGGGATCTGTTGAATGTGTTCATTTGACAGATGGTTTTGAACACCAACCAGTATCAGACACTGGGGGGACATACGATCAATCAGATGGGGTCCCCAATTTTGGTAAACTTGGCCTCCCACATACTCCTACACTTAGAAGGTAGAAAACGTGTTAAAGTGATCGTGGTGCCGGTGGCTCACGCCTGTAAGCCAAGCTTCTCAGGAGGCAGAGATCAGGAGGATCATGATTTGAAGCCAGTCTGGGCAAATAGTTCATGAGCCCCTATCTCAAAAAAATCCACCACAAAAAGGGGCTGGTGGAGTGGCTCAAGGTGTAGGCCCTGAGTTAAAGCCCCAGTATTGCACACTACCTCTGGCCTGACTCTATATATTTGCACACTTAGATATATGTCAACATTCAAAAACACCTAGAAAAAATTGTCAAGTTTATACTTCTGGTAAGGAAGAAGCCCAAATTTGGGAGATGGGTAGAGGTGTTTATTGTTATTAATCTAATTTATTGATTGTTGTTTTGGTATGATGGGGTTTGAAGTCAGGGCTTTGAACTTGAGCCATGCCTCTGGTCTACTTTGCTCTGGTTATTTTGGAGGTGAGGTCTCATGAAGTAATTGCCTGGCATTGGACTGTGATCCTCCCAATCTCAACCTCCCAAGTAGCTAGGATTATAGGTGAGAGCCTCTAGCACCCAGTGTTATTTGTGGGTTTTTTTTTTTTTTCCATTTATTCATATGTGCATACAATGTTTGGGTCATTTCTCCCTCCTCCCTTTCCCCCCTTATGTGTGGTTTTTATTTGCTTTGTGGTTCTGGGGTTTGAACTCAGGGCTTGCACTTGGTAGGCAGGTGCTCTATCATTTGAGCCACAACCCCAGAGCTAATCTAAATTTTTTTTAAAGAAGATTCATTTATCAGTTATATAACTATCAAATACAGTAAACGTCAAAAAACACCGGGTGCTAGGAAAGACAAAGGTATAGTCCCCATGCTGCTTGCAGAGCTTGTGGGCCCCAAGATCCTGCCTCCTGCAGTTTGGAAGTCCCCAGGTTTGGCTCTTAAAGTCCCTGAAGGACCAGGGCCAGAGCGCTCCTATTTCTTGTTGCCTGGTTCTGCATTTGGGAGGATGGCACCTTTCCTCCCAGGGCCCCTGACATGGGCCAGGGCTTAAGAGACCTGGCTTAGAATATTGGGCAAGTCACATTAGATCTTTGGTCATCATTTCCAGATGTTCTTTTTTTTTTTTTTTTTTTTTGTGAGATTGGTTGGGTTTGAACTTTGAATTCAGAGCCTCATGCTTTCTAGGTAGGCACTCTACCACTTGAGCCATTCCACCAGCCCCTTCCAGATGTTCTTAACCTGGAATCTGATAGCTTCAAAGGATCTGTGATCGCTCGAAAATGTCCTCACAATGCTAAGTTTCCATGTTTCTTGCTGAGAAGAGGGTCCAGAGTTTTCATCAAGACTTTTCTCAAAGACCATGGCACCCCCCCCAAAACACGCCCAACCCCCAAGGAACCCCTCCAAGGATGGGGCTGGTTTAGACAGAGTTTTCCAGTTTGCTATGGCCCAGCCTCAGGGGGCACCTGTATACAGACGCCCCTACCATCCCCTACCCTTCCACCCCATGCCTTTTCCAGACCATGTGACCAGAGAGAAGCTGGACAGGATCCTAGCGGTGATCCAAGGCTCCCATCAGAAGGCCCTGGTGACGTAAGTGGGATCTTGGCAAAGATGCTAGGACAACAAGAAATGCCTTAGGAGCTCCCTAGTCTCCACCCACCCTGGGGCAGATTTCTAGGATCTTGTTTACAGAATTCAAAACCAGGTGGAGCTACCCATTCCTCCCAGGGCATGCAGAAGTGTCTCTGGGTGCCAGGCCTCGGGATGGCTTCTGTGGAAACCCAGGAGGACCAGAGACTCCAGGGCCCTCTTAGGGAGCATGAGAACTCATGAGAGGAAACCAAGGATTCACATCATCCAGGCACAGGGCTAGGAGCTTAGGCCCTGGCAGCAGCCCACTTGGGACTCCTGACTCCCAGATATCACTGCCCTTGTCTGTAGATGGGACAGAAATTTCCCCTGCCTTATGAACACATGCTGAGGACTTGAGAGCATCAGGCAGATAGCTGAGACCAGTGCCTTTAAGGTATAGAGGGCACAGCAGAACAGCCACCTGAGGTGGGAAAGCTGCTGTTATCTGAGAAACAGTCCAGGGAGCGTTGTTTAAAAGATGAGCAGGAGCCAGGCCCAGTGGCAAGTGCCTGTGGTGGGAGTGCTTGGACATGAAACAGCCAGATGTGTTCAGAAGCTGGCAAGGAGCCAAGCACAAAGGACAGGAAGTGCTGGGGAAAGGGGCCAAGGGAAGTGGAGACCATGGATGGGTCTGAAGCATCTAGTGATCTATGGTCCTGTTCGTGGGGACTCTGTGGAGGAACAGCCAGGGAAGTAAAGTTGGAGGCAGGGAGTAGACTACAAGGATGGTGCCCGATGACTACCTGGCAGGCCTGAATGCAGCAGGGACAGCAGTGCAGCAGGTTGATGTAGGCACGAGGAGAGAGGAGACTGGAAGGATAACTGGACCACGTGGGTGTTGGGACCTGTGGGGGGCATGATGTTGAGGTCACTTGGGTTGGTTTGTGAATGAGGTGCCTGCAGGATGCCTGGCTGAGATGCTGGAGAATGGACTACAAGGAGAGCTTAGGAGCCATCAGCTGGATTATAGGTGAAGCCAGAGGGTATGGGTAGAGGCTGCCTTCAGTGTCTGGAGGGGCTGAGAGGCTGCTCCGAAGGTGGCTGGAGGAGCAGGGGACAGCAGGGAATGTGGTGAGTGAGTGAGAACAAGCACCTTTTGTGGTGGGGTGGGAGACCCCACAGCATCCACCCATTCTTGCCCCTCCTGCTCTCCAGGTACTCCAACCTGGACCTGCAGTCCCAGGAGGCCTATGAGATGGCAGTGAGAGGTGTGATCCGGCCCATGAACAAGTCCCCGATGCTCATCACTGGCATCCGGTGCCTGCGCTTCACACCTCCAGAATTCTTGTTAGGTGGGTTGCCCAGGAAACTGGAGTGGTGAGAGTCGCCCTGGAATGCTGTTCTCTGGCTTGGCCAAGGCCGGCATATACCAACCCTGATCTTCACTGGTCAAGGCTTTGGGGGCCAACTTCCTTCCTGTGCTGACCTGAGCTTGACCAAACCCAAAGCATACAGCAAATGCTGTTCTGTCTCCTGCCAAATCACCCTTTGAAGCCAAACTTTAATAAGCAAAGGTTATGTCTAGCAGTTCATATCCAGAGCTGTTTAACATTGTTCTGGGCCCCTCAGACACCACCATCACCTCTCCAGTCTCTTCCAATCAGTCCCTCAGGATCTTTGTTCCTTCTTTGTCTCCATTGGTTCTATTAATAAGGACTCATTTTCTTGAGCACTGATGGGTACTCCCGATGCTAAGCACCGTGTATAAATGATCCCTTCATTCCTCATAGCAGCCATTTTATAGATAAGCAGTGTTCATCTAAGACCAGGGCTTCTCAAACTCAAACTTGTGCATATATCACCTGTGGGTCTTCTTAAAAGGCAGGTCCAACTCAGCAAGTGCTAGTTAGGCCTGAGCTCTGCATGTCTGACATACACCTAGGTCCCACAGGGCTGGCCCTTAGGCTGTACTCTGCATGGCAAAGCCTAGAGTGCTTAGCTGACTTGTCAAGTTGTTATGCAGTCAGAAGGTGTCCAAGAGGTTGTGGGTCCAGATCAGCCAGTCCCCCGGTGCTGTTTTGACTTCCGTGTCCATGATTGTGTGTCTCTGGCAGAGGTGCAGTGTATGCATGAGACACAGCAGCAGCTGCGAAAGCTGGTACATGAAATTGGCCTGGAGCTAAAGACCACTGCTGTTTGCACCCAAGTACGGCGCACACGTGATGGTTTCTTCACGCTGGATGATGCCCTCCTGAGGACCCAGTGGAACTTAAACAGCATCCAGGATGCCATTGGTGCTGCAGCCCCTCGGGTGGCTGCAGAGCTGGAGAACTTGAGGCCAAGGTTAGATACGCAAGAGCACCCCAGTCCTGGCCAGCCCTGGGACTCTAAGGGCCCAAGATCCACCTTGGGGCTTGAGAGCTGTGCAGGGCATTGAAAGGTCAGGCAGCTGGTAGAACAGTGGGCAGATAAGAAAGGCTCCGTGTTCATGAGCCAGAACTGATGTCTGTGCAGAAAATGAGAGTAAGGGGAGTTTTTCTGTGTAAGACATAAAACTCTGAAGCTGATAGTACACGCCTGTGATCCCAGCTACTTGGGAGAGAGGCTGAGGCAGGAGGATCATGAATTCAAGGCCTCCTGGGCTACATAGCAACTTCCACACCAGACTGAGCTATGTGGTGGGACCTTGTCTCAAAAATAAATGAAAACAAACAAAAGAAATGACAGAATATTTTTAAAAGTGAAAATTAAAAGAAAAAAGAAAATCCGTAATACACAAAGAGCTCTCTGAATTACGAATAAGAAGACAAGAAAACTGGGCAGATGATGTGTATCAAAAGAAATCCAGCTGGACACATGGCTCAAGTGCTAGAGCACCTGCTAGCAAGCACAAGGCCTTGAGTTCAAATCCTAGCACTACAATAGCAATAACAAAATGAGACTGCACTTTGAACTCAGGGCTTGCAAGTGCTGTACCGTGTAAGGCACACCTCCAGTCCATTTTGCTCTGGTTACTTTCGAGATGGAGTCTCATGAACTCTATTCCAGCTGGCCTTGAACTGCAATCCTGATCTCAGCCTCCCAAGTAGCTAGGATTACAGGCGTGAGCCACTGTGCCCAGCCTCCACTTACCTGTTAATGAAAGACCACAGATGAAAATGAGATGCCTTGCCTTTCTGGCATGAGAAAATTAATTAATTTAAAAAATATTATGTAGTATTGGTGATGAAGCAAGAACATGGGCAGTCTATAGAGTTGGTAGGAATATGAAACTGCACCCTTTAGGAGTATTTCATTAGTGTATCAGAATTTAATACTCCTGCCCTGTGACCCAGCAGTTTCACTTTTCCAGCCTGGTTTGACAGTTACTGGCCTATAGCTCTTTATGGCTGCCTTGTAGCAGCAGAAAGTGCAGGAAATGTGATTGCTGTTCCTCAAGAAGGGACTGGTTGATAAATACAACATGTGTGGCACTTTATTCTTAGCCATTTTTCCTGCCAATAATTTTATTTCTCCAGGCTTGACCCACCTTGGCCTCATGTGTTTTGTATTAGTTTATTTATTCCTCCCACTGCCCGCCCCCCCTTGAGGTAGAAGGAGATAATTGGTCTCCATTTTCTTTTCTCTCTCTAAGAGAGGAAAGCACTGAAATACTTTTTTTTTTTTTTTTTTTCCCCTTTCAGTACTGGGGATTGAACCCAGGGTCTGTGCCCTAGCAATTTAGCTAGGCCCACAGCCCTGGAAGATCTCTTGTCCATGTTGTTACCCTTGGAAACAGGCCCAGGCCACCCTCTCAGGGTGGCCTCCACAACAGCCTGCAGCTTGGAGGCATGCTGAGGAGCTCTGGCTCAGCACAGTTCTGGTTGTGAGGTCTTGGACACTCCGCCTCCTCCTCCATGAAATGGAGATGCCAATTTTGTCTATCGTTGGCGTGGTTGTGGCAACAAATGAAAACAGGTGACAGGTGCGTTTCCTACATCTGCACATCTAAGGTTCTGTCTGCCTGTGAGCTGTTGGCCTGAGGCACTTTCCCTCTTCCAAGCACTGAGTTCACAGCTAAGATTGTTCAAGGTAGAGTCAGGCCTTCCCCCTCCTGTTCCTGTGGCAGAGAGGTTTCCCAGCTAGGTACCTGACAAATAGGAGCTCAGCCAGTGGAGCCAGTGAATAACAGTAGTTGTAAGTTATGCTGATAGTGACGAAACTGGCCATTCGTGTCTGCAATCTTTCTTCTGATGCCTCATAACTCATTCTTCTCATGAGCAAAACAAAAACAGATGTCAGTATGGAAGCGCCTAACAAAGTACCTGAACAAGGTCAAAAGCAAGGGAAGGCTGACAGATAGCCACCAAGAGGAGCCTAGGGTGACTGAATGTCGTGTCTTCTGGGTGAGGTCCAGGAATGGAAAAGGACAGTAGGGCAAAACACATCTAATAATAAATGTAAATAAACTGTGCACTTTGGTTAGTAACAGGATGTACAGATACTGGCTCTTTAACATATATTACACTGCTGTGAGACATTAATACCATAATACAGGAAACTGGGTGCTGAGTCTGTGGGAATTCTTTGTACTGTCCTCAGTTTTTTCTGGAAATTACTGTTCTTAAAAAAAAAAGTTGCTGGAGTGGCTCCCTTGGTGGCATACTCTCCTAGCATGTGTGAAGCCAGCAATTTGGTGTCCAGCCCTGAAAACAACAAAAATAGTTGCCTGCCTGGTGGGGTATACCTGTAATCCCAGCATTCTGGAGGCTGAAGAGGACAAGTTGTTGGACAGCAAGGGCTACATAGCAGGACCTTATCTCCAACCCACGCACTGGAGGCTCATGCCACCAGCTGCTTAGGAGGCAGAGATCAGAAGATCATGGTCTAAAGCCAGCCAGGGAAAATAGTTCATGAGACCCTGTCTTGAAAACCATCACAAAAAAGGGCTGGTGGAGTGGCTCAAGGTCTAGACCCCAAGTTCAAACCCCAGTACCACAAAAAAACAAAACAAAACAATGGGCACTGGTGGCTCACTCCTGTAATCCTAGCTACTCAAGAGGCAGAGATCAGGAGGATCGAGTTTGAAGCCAGCCCAGACAAAGCAGGCCTGCCTGGCAGAGTGGCTCAAGTAGCTAGAGAACCTGCCTAAGAAGGATGAGGACCTGAGGTCAAACCCCAGTACGGCAAAAAAAAGAAAAAAGAAACACTCAGTAGAGACCAACTAGGGACTGTCTTTTCCCCCTTGTGTTCAGAATAACAAAGTACCACAAACCAAGTGGCTTAAACAATAGTTTATTGTCTCCATCTTGGAGGCTGGGAGTCCAAGGTCAAGAAGCAGTAGAACTGGTTCCTGAAACTGGGGGGTCATCGGTTTCCCCAGCTTCTGGTAGTTTCCTGTTGACCTTTGGCGTACCATGGCTTATAGGAACACCCCCATCTCTTCCTTCAGATTTAAGTGGCGGTGGCCATGTCTATCTGTCTCCCCATTTCCCTCTTTTATAAGGGCACCAGTCAAATTAGAGGCTCATCCTGCTCTAGTAGGCCTTTGGCCTAATTACATCCACAGCCACCTAGATTCCAAATATGGTCACTTCTGAGGTACTGGGAGTTGGTACTTCATTCAAATTTGGGGAGACACAACAGGTGGTTTAGACATTTACTTGTGCTGGCCTGGTGCTTCTCAGAGCACTGTTGCCTTTTGACCAGGAAATTCCCCAGAGGTCAGGGCAGGCTCCTTTCTCCCCTCCACTACCACCCTGCTCCACAGCAGCAGCACTTCTACCCCTACTGCAGTTGCCCTGCAAGTGATACTGTGGTTATTAGACACTCCTCTTTAAGAATTGGGAGGATACAGATGGGTGCTGGTGGCTCACACCTGCAATCCTAGCTGCTTGGGAGACTAAGATCAGGAGGATCTCTGAGGTCAGCCTGGGCAAATAATTGTGATTCCCGTCTCTAAAATAACCAGAGCAAAATGGGCTGGAGGTGTGGCTGAAGCTGTAGAGCACCTGCTTTGCAAGTGTGAAACCTTTAGTTCAAACCCCAGTCCCACCAAAAAAAAAAAAGGGGGTAGGGTGGGGGAAGACTGGCTTAAGTGGTAGAGTGCCTGCTTTGCAAGCACAGAGTCTTGATTTTAAAATCTCAGTCCCACAAAAAAAAGAAAAAGAATTTGCAGGATACCTAGGGGCTACTGCTGCTACCAGTACTCCATGGTGCCAGCTGGAATGGCACCCAGCAGTGCCCAGGGAACCTAGCTATCCCTCTCCACAGCCTTCTTCAAGCAGCTCTTTTTCACCTGGGTTTCCTCGCCTTTCAGATGGGACAATAATGCCAGTCCCATACAGGTGACAAGATGAGCCTAATGCTACAAGGCCAATACAGAAGAACTTGCCTTGTATCAGGAAACAGCATTTAACATACCTGATCTCATTTAATCTTCAAACAGACCCAGGGATTAGTCTCTATGGGTATCTTTGTTTTATAAATGAGAAATGAGCAAGAAGAGTGCAAAGGACACCCAATACTGTGGTAGGAATTATCTCCCAAAAATTCCTCTGCAGAAATCCTTACCCTCGGTGTGGCTCAAGAGGTCAAGCACTTGCTTTGCAAGGGTGAAGTCCTGAGTTCAAATCCCAGCCCCACCAAAAAACAAAGAAAAACAAAAACCGGAAAATCCTTACCCTCAAAGACATGGCATGAAAGTGACTAAGTCACAAGGATGGAGCCTTCGTGAATGGCATTAGTGCCCTTATAGAAGAGACTCGAGGGCTGGGGCTGGGGCTTAGGAGTAGAGTGTTTGCCCAGTATGACCAAGGCCATGGGTCCCATCCCCAGCACCAGGGGACCGTGGGGTGTGAGATGCCCAAGAGAGCTCACCTGTCCCTTCCCCCATGTGAGGACCCAGTGAGAAATGGGTCCTCACCAGACACAATCTGCCAGCCTTGATCTGGGACTATTACCTCCAGAAGCATGAGAAGTAAATCACATGTTTATAAGCCACCAACCTCATGGTATCTTGTTACAAACAGCCCCAAAAAACTGTAAGACACCCAGCCAGTAGCACAGAGCCAGGGACCCAGTTGGCGCTGTCTGGCCCCAGAGTGTGGTGGTTTAAACCACCCTTTGTCCTGCTTCTTTTGAACTCAGTCCTCCTCCTGAGGTGGTTGTCACAATAGTCTCCATATGCATGAGCTCTGCATCCTTGAATTCAGCCAATCATAGATCAAAACTACTCAGGAAAAAAAATTGTGTCTATACTAAACAATAAAGTGTAACAGCTGTCTACAAACATTTTGTTCCATAGAAGTCATCAAGAGGGGACTTCAAGTATGCAGAGTATGTGAAGGTTATGTACAAATACT